TTTAACATAGCTAAGGGGTTTGTAACCTGGTTCTAGCACCAAAGCCAGAACCTCGCCTCTCTCAGGTCTAAGGTTTCCGCCACCCGCAAACAGAAGCTCCTCGGGAGCTAGATGAGACATGCAACCACCAGCGGTTGGAATATGTGAAGCGTATGTACCCTGATATCCCCGGGGGTCTATTTTGTGCACCAGGGGGATGCGAATACTAATTCAGCCCTGTATGGCTATGTGGTAACAGAGCTTTCGTTTGGTTGGACCTTTGTGGGCGTTTCTACGGGCTACACAAAAGGGGCGGGGGGGTCAATCCAGCGGGGTCAACAGACACGCCCAACGGTTCGGATCGATCCAGGGCCGAGCGGCGAAGAGCGCCGTGCTGCGTGAGGAGATGCAAGGATTTCTGCAGCAGCAGCGCCAGCAGAAGCCGCCCCGCAACGCGCCTGGGATCGCATGACAGGTGGCTGGTTTGGTTGGTCTTGGTACGGTGGGTTGCGCGATGTTGCGCGTGTCTTCCTTTGAGGGTCGCCTTCTTTGGCAGTTGAAAACGTGGCGCCTAAACTCCAGACATTTTGAGCTGAAACAACCCGGATTTGTTCGATGGGACAAAGCTAAGGGAACAAGCTACAACAGATCCGTGCCGTTGCGTTCAGGGGTAGCTCTGTGAATGCCATTCAACCGGTGTACCAAAAAGACGCTGCCGCTACACGCGGTTGGCCAGAAGTAGAAAGGCCCAAGGCCTTTTGGTTCTCAAACAGGTGTCCCCTCCAGGTGGCCGTTTTGGAGCACAAACCCACTGGAAGATGTCTTGGATTTGGTGTCAAGCCAGACCACGTTAGAGGTCAGGAAGCCCCCAGTTTTTGTGTGGAGGGGTTGCTCTTGAAGTAAACCCAGGCGACTCAAGCTGCGCGCCAAAAGTTTAAAAGGTTCGTGGCCCCTTTAACCTGGTCATGTGACGCTCACCCATAGCTTCGTGACTAGCTTCGTGATGCCTCGAAGCTTGGGGCCCCCGTTTGGTCAGGCCAGGGAACCCACCATGGACAAGTTTGCAGGTGGCCTTTTCTGGTGGCGTTCAGCATTGTTGGTGATGTTTAATGTTGACCCAGGTTTCATAAGCCCGTCCCATGATTAGGGGGGGTGTTCCCTCCAAAAGTGATCTGAATCCCCACTAAAAGGTGACACCCTAATAGTTAACCAGGGGTTTAACTTCATCCGGACTTAGCATTAAGAGAATTGCGGGGCCCCAAGCTGTTGCCAGAAGCCGTTGAATGCCATCGCTTTCCCGGGCAAATCCTGCGGTAGGTTTTGTTGGTCCCGAATCGATCGAAGGTCCTTTACAGGTGCCCGAAACCGAAAGTCCGCCGGATGATGTCTCCCAAACTCTAGGCCCGGTGAGAACCCCACTCGCAAATGAACCAGTGTCCCACTGGAATGCGATTTCCGCGGCTGCGTGGGGCTGTTCTCTTTGTTGCCTTTTGCGGTCTATCACAAAAGGCTCATTTTGCGCACATGTTGGGATGATGAAATTCAGTGGCGGCCTTGTGTGGAAGTCATAGGACCTGGAGAAGGAATTGGAGGAACCCAACCTAGACTCTCCGTGACCCTTTAAAATGGGCTCATTACCCAAAGGAAAGGGGTCATGCCCCCATTTTCAAAGGGTCATGGAGACTCTAGGAAAAGATCCAAGAGCTTAAAACGACCAAAAGGTCTCTGAGAGGTGGCTTTGGGCGCCTTTTTTTTAATTGGAGGGTCAAGAGGCGGCATGTTTCGGTCAGTTCGATCCCGAGCTGCCGGCCAGGATCCTTTGATCCAGGACTGCGGATGAAATCGCGGAGGGCGGTGTTTCTTTGTTCGCATTTCTAGTGGTTGATTCCTTTTCCATTTTTTTTCAAAAACCGGCCGTTTTCCCTTGGTTTTCGGAAGTTTTCTAGAAAGAAGGATCCCTGGAAAGAATGGGGAAGGTAATCCTAGAGCATTGCTCCTGGTGAAAGTGTTGTGCCTTGTTGATCATTTGTTTGTTCCTTCCCAGTTGCCCGGTGGATTCCGCCCCTCTTTTCAACTTTTTTTGGGAAGGGTTCCCCTTGAAACTCAACCAACAAAAAGAAGATGCCCTTTTCTTTCCAATGGAAATCCACTGGGCATCTGAGCCTTGCTTGGTTGGTTGGTTGGTGGGTTGGTTGGTGGGTTGGTTGCTTGGTTGGCGCTCGCTCGTGTTGTAGCCGGCGGCTGGGAGCTCCTTTGTGTTTGCTGACGTATCCATGGGGCAGGAGTCTTCCTAACACGAGAAGGGTGCGAATTACACGAATCGTTAGGGCGTCAAATGCCATGTGCTCATTCACTGCGGGTGGTGGAGTGGCCCCAGGTATGAACCCCGCTAAATTGGGGAAGCTTCAGAGGAACCAACCCCAATGTTTCAAGGCACTCTGTGCCGGCTGATGCCCGGCAAACTCGGACCACCCTTTAGAACCCTCGATCGCACCCCTTTCCATCCAAAGCTTCTAAGAATCCTTCCTGGGGCTTGCGGGTGACAACTAGCGCCATCCTTTTCTTTGTTTCCCCACCGAAGTTCGCATTCTTCCATATTCTTCCTAGGGCTTGATGCCAAGTAGCCCATTTCGTTGCCCAATTCGTTGCCCTGGGATGGCCAATTCGCAGGTCGTTTCCCGATGTGTTTCACTTCGCTTCGCAGGGCCCTTCCAACACTCAGTTGTTCAAAGCGAATCGACCGGATCTGACCTTTTGGTTTTCCCTTTTTTTGGCTTTGGTTGGTTGGTTGGTTGGTTGGCTGGTTGGTTGGTGGGTGGGTTGGTTGGTTGGTTGGTTGGTTGGTTGGTTGGTTGGTTGGTTGGTTGGTTGGGTCCATTTTTTACCTTTTTTGGTGTTCCCTTTTGGGTCCAGTTTTAGTAGAGGTCCCAAAAGGTTAACCTTTTATTCCAGGTCCGAACTGGGCAAGGGAGAACAGGACACCCGCGTGGACAACCAGCTGCTCTACCCCGTGCAGCCCAAGTCGACTCCCCGCAAGACGACCCCAGCGACGACCCCCCGCGAGCCGCCGCCGCCGGAGCTGGGAGCGAAGGAGCAGACGTGCCAGGAGGTCAGGGGAGCGAGCGCAAAAGCGGAGTGAGAACCCCCCAATTGGCTGGGGCTCAAAAACATGTGCCAAAATGGCACCCTTGACCAAAGACTAAAACCTGCGTAACCCTGCTTAATTTTGAGCCACACCCAATTGTGGCGCCAGTTCCTGGGAAATCTGTGCTAGCTGTTGTTCTTGGATGGGTATACGAACTGTTTCTTGCGCACTGAAGCCGCAAAGCTTCGGTTTCGCCCCTTGGAAAGCAGGCGAGCAAAGAATGAGACTCCGACGTGTAAATACTTGCGTTGCCGTCTTGCCACGGCACCACTAGGGACATTGTCGCCTCAAAGTGGATCTTCGAGCAACCTCGAGGCACCCTCTCAAAGTTGCCTTTGGTCAGAAAGAAGGGTAGATGATCCACTCTCATATCACGGAAGCACCCTGTTGTCCGTATGTTTCGTCGACCTAGAAACCAACCGTTTAAGCCCAGGCCCTGTTATCCTTTTTGGTTGGAGGGCGCTCTCTTAAAACCAATGATAGTGAGCAACAATGAGCTAGCAGATGGACCCCCCAATGGTGGCCCAGCCAATTTGCGGGAAATCTCCAACTGTACCTCTAGGATGGGTATACTGACTGATTGCTACTCACTATGCCGAAAATGTACGGTGTTTTTCCTGCATGCATGGCCGCGGGGTTGGGTTGGGGTTCCACCAGGAGATCCCCGAATCGGAGATGAAGCTGGTGGACGAGACCTGCCCCCATATGCAGCAGCAGCTTGGATCGGAGCCAGACATGAGCTGACCTAGTGGTCTCCTGCGATTCCAGAGGGTCCAAGTACCTTCCAAGGAGGTACGTAGACCCCTTTTTACCGCCAAAAGCCATCCTCATGAGGTACTTGGACCCTCTGGGATCATTTCTTGATTTTGAGGTTGACTAGATATGACGCACGTGAGAATCGCATATTTGTTGAGGCATACCCCAGTTGTTGGGCATGTCGGTGTCGGTCAATCGGTACTTCAGGTTTCGAGACAGGGCAAGCTCTTCATTTCAGGTTCAGCTTGGTCGTTCAGACAAGCCCTTACCCAAGCCCTTCGTTGTTTGATCATATCAAAAATCATTCGGACTTCTCCGTTGAATCTATACTGCTCAAGTTGGGCGGAGTCTGACAAAGGTCTGACGAACTTTGTCTGGTGGCTCTGCCTTATCGGAGGATCTGGCTTGTCAGACCCGCGCGACTACCTTTTTCGAGCTTCAACCCCACGTGGGGAATCTTTTTGGACAGTACAACCTCCATGTGCTGAAGTCCCCTGGGAAGAAGAAAGAGAAAGCATTCCAATAGGGATAAATTCTCTTTGATACCAACAGGGCAAAATAGCACCATATTCTTAATCAAATGGAAGGCAAGGTTGCGAGATGTTGTTGCACGGTGGCCAGTGGCGTTTTTTCCCCTGATGGGTCTGCTTTTCTTTCCATTTGCTATCATCGTGACTAGATGGTAGGGTTCCTTAAAACAGGCAATTCGGCAAGTTCAGCTGCTATGTTCGGGGAGTAATGTGCATGTAAAATACCCACGCACCCTGAATGGCAAACCCTTTCGACTTGGCTGCTTGGCAAACATGGGGATCCGCCATTCAACCTTTCACCAATTTATTTGGACAGGGCGAGCCCACGGCATGGGTTCCTTACCTGGGTGTTTGTCAATTCTTTGCGGGTATGTGTACTTAGTGCAAAAGACACACACACACACACTGGTGGGTGAAGGGTCATTTCCATGCTTCCCACTAAGGAGCAAGCATGTCAGGGGTTCGAGTGCCCAGCAGGGGTGTCTTCCCCACCCAATCTCATGTTCAACGAGCCCTTTAACAACCCAGTGCTTGCAGTAGGTCAGGTTCCTTGTGGCCTTTTAAATGGTTCGACGTGTAACGCTACCTACTATGGTGACAGAAGCAAGGCTAGTAACCATTTCGCTAATCCCCAGACCGTCTCACAGGTTTACCGGGGCTGACCCCAGCACAAGTCTGAAGCGGGGCAGCTGGCAGGAATCCCATTTGTTTCGAACGTCTCCCATAGTAGTTGCTTTGTGTCTTGCTGTTTAACGGGCGCGTTCAAAAGTATGACTTCGCAAGGAACCTATGGACGGGTGGACGAGCAACCGCCAACCGTGCTTTGAGGTTGTCCACTAAAATTCAGAATCCCACATGGGCCTGTAATACTGAAATCGCACAGAAAACGGAAAAATGCCCTGCCCATAATTCATTTCCTCTAAAGGACACCAAATTTCTATTTGGTTTTCAGACCCCCCCTTTTTGTAGCACCCGGCATGGCCAGCTGTTTTTTGGCGCGTGCCCCGGGCGAAAAATCAAAACGCTGAGGCACCCGGTGTTCTTGACCAAGGCCCGCGATCATAGGCCAGGAAAGCGAACTAGAAGCACTGGAGAGCGCGGAGTCTCCACGAACTCCCCCCTTCTTGCGTTTGTGACCTCATTAGGGCGGAGACTCCAGTGTAAGACATGCCTTTTGGGCGGAAGCAAGCCGGGACAAAATGTTCAAAGGTTGATTCACTTGGGCGTTGCCGACCCCGGAGCCTGGTGGATTATGCGTGTTTCCTCCAAAGCTGATTTGGATCCTCTCTTCAAGTTTGACATCCTTCCAACAATCAATCAGGATATGATTCATCCGAAATGGGACGTACTTGTTTGGGTACGTTGCCAAAAGAAATGAGGGGGCCAGCTTTTTTTCAGTGCCCTCGATTCATTTTTTGATGCTATGATCCGTTTTGAAAATAATGGGAACTTAGTCCTAACTCAAAGAGGTCACTTGAGCCATTTAAAGGGCACTTAAACCCTCAGGGTTGCCCCTCCCCCCTCAGTCCGGGCAAATCGAGCCGCAGCGACACATGAATACCAATGACACTCACACGGGGGGAGGGGGGACGACGCTGGGCAAAATCGAGCTGCAGCGACACGCGAATGACACTCACGCAGAAGGGACCGACACTAGCGTAAGTGACCTTTTCAAGGGGTAAGTGACCTCGATTCGCACCCCCACTGACACTCAAATGACACGCTTTGACCTCAAAACGCCATGTTCAGGCATTCCGGGTCGGCCCCAATCAAATGTGGCAGTGCCCAAACAAGCAAGGCACACTGGCGGATGATGTTGAATTGATTTTTTGTTCATAGCCAAACTAGCCCTTTTGTGCTCGTTAGAACTGGTGCACCTTCCACTTCCCCCTTTAAGGTTGGGGTGCATGAGCTTGCCCTCACGAAAGCTAGAGGACGAAAAGAGCCTTGCAGGAATCTTAGTCCGCAGCGGCCCCATTCTTGCCTTTGCGTTGGGTTCCTTACCGTTCTGCTGTCCTGGTTCAACCACAAGGTGTTCAACCACAAAGGTCGTATCCTCAATTTTGGTTGGTACCGTCCAGAATGTCTCGGCGACCAACTCCTCCAATCGGCGCAGTTCCCCCACAGAGGCATGCGACCTTTGAGGCCGCGGCGCCTAGACCAATACTCAGTTGCAACCAGTGGGTTGCCTCCTTTTTTCAACTTTTTGTTGGGAAGGGTTCCCCTTTAAAGTCAACGAGCCAAACACGGATGGCCTTATGTTTTCATGGAAATCCACAAAGCATCTGAGAATAGGGAAGCCCGAAGTGTGGAAGTGAAGCCCTCGGTTTTTTTTTCCCATTCAGTCCCGTCCCTGCTCTCACTTGCAGGTCCCGGCGGCTCTATGATGACCACGTGCGCCGCGCGCTGGAAGAGAAGGCGCCTTTTGGCGAGGGAATAATCTGGGGTAGACTTAATTAGAGTCATGAGGATGGCTTTCGGGGGGCAAAAAGAGGTCTAAGTACCTCCTTAGAAGGTACTTGGACCCTCTGGGTTAGGGTACATTTTACCATTTTACCAGTGACTCAAAGCGAAGCAAACAATAAATATACATTCTATAACTGGGCCTAACTCTAATCATGTAATCAAACATCGAACTTTCGACTTATCAACAAGGTGGGGTGGGCACTTGGGAAGTGAGGGAAAGCCAATTCGGTGAAATCATGTTGCTTGGTCAGTAAGGAACCAAGAGGGCTTGGATTTGGATATGAACCTAGGGATTCCCGTTCTAGCACCTTTGTTTAGGGTTGGAGGTTCTGCAAAGGGTGCTCTCATAGCGGCAGGTGGAGCAGACGAAGATGGAGCTGGCACACATGGCGCAGAAGCGCAAGGCGGGTGGACTGCAGTGAGCTTGAGTGTTGTGAAAAACGAAGCTACATATTGAAGATTACCCTCACTCTCCTCCCCTCCCCTCCCCTCCCCTCCCTCCCCTCCCTCCCCTCCCTCCCCTCCCTCCCTCCCTCCTCCCCTCCCCTCCCCTCCCCCTCCCCTCCCCTCCCCTCCTCCCCTCCCCCCCTCCCCTCCCTCCCCTCCCCTCCCCCTCCCCTCCCCTCCCACCCCTCCCTCCCTTGATTTCCCACAGAGTTAAAGTCTAAAGATCCAGCCCAGTAGCAATCAGCTCGAAATCAATGGTACAAGGTTCTATGAGCCCGGCTGTAACTTATACCTATACCCTCCTTCCCACGTTGTGACGGCACCCGGTCCCTCCATGAGGAAATTGATCGTCTAGGTACTAGGTACCCTCCCAAAAGTGCAATGCTTTAAAAATCCTACTACTCAGCCGAGACTCAGCCCCTTAACATAGTCCATTTCGCCACCAAAAGGGGAACCTCCTGAAACATCCGATGTCAACATCATTGCATGCAATCAAATGACAACTCGGTTCATCAAGCACAACCAACCCTCAGATGTGTTTTGTGAGATTCGCCCGGGTAGAATGATCTGCTTTTGAGAGATATTCGGTCAGCATAGTCCACTTGATCGAAGGAATTCCAAGGAACATTATTCCGAACGTAGTGTTTTGAAACAGGTGGTGCTATGCATGTTATCAACCAGTCTCCCTTTGTCCCATTTGTCATTGCCCACCCAATAAAGGCCCTGGTCCGAAAAAGCTTCGCATTCTTGTCCCGGCAGCTGGCCTCGAAACGCGTAACATGCCCTTGGTTTCTGGTTGGCAACCGTTTGGGGGCCATATTTTTTTGTTCAGGCTGGTGAGCAAAATGGCGCGGCGTGGTTGGCCGGTTGGCTTTGGCAAATGTGGGCGACTGGATGTGGCAAATGAAGAAGACTCGGTCTACATTGGTGCTGAAGTTCGCTATTTGGTTGACGGGTCAGTTTGGGTCTCCGAACCTTGACGCTAGGAGCCATGCCATCTAAGTCGGGTGCTGAATCACTGAGTGTAGGTAGCGAATGGACAAGCCAAAGGCGCAAAGGCCAGATGTGACGAATCTGGAAGCGTGGCCTGAAGCCTTTGGCTCTTCTAGAGACATCCGGGAAACCAACCCATTTCCGGGAACACCTCCGTTCCGGGCTCGCTCCAAATTCCAGGAGGAGACCTGGGAAACCACCCCACCCGAAAAACCATCTCTGGCGCCGGGCTCGCTCCAAAAGCCAGGAGGAGGTCCAACAGCTGGAGGACTCCATGCTGGTGGCTGATGCCCTGCGGCATGTGCGGTGCCCAAGCGGTGGGAAGAGGGGGACGCCCAGTGGAGGGGAGGTGGGGAGGAGTTGGGGGAAGCCAAACCCAAGTGCGGCCGGGCGCATGTCATGTGTCTTCAGCTTCATGTACTTGTTGCTGGGGGGGATGCTAAGGCCTTAGGTCTAGGGCCTTAGTTTGCAGAAAAAGGGGAGGGCCCAGGGGGAGCCACCTTTGAGTATCCTCACCACCGGGAATCACCCCTCAACGTTTTGAGTGTCCGGTCTTTGGTCTTTGATATACTGGGGCCGCATATGAATGGCTGCCCATGTGGCAGCCGAATGCCAGAACTCCCAGCTGGGCAAGCCCGATGCCCTTGGATGTGCCCGGTAAGCCCTTCTTGGCAGCTCTTCGGTGGATATCCTGGAAATCCCTTTCTGTTTGGTAAGCCCAACAGGGGTTCCAATTATTTTTTTAACCAGGGTCACTGAACAACTAGGGCGTTCGCTTCAACATCAACCAGCTCAGCAGTCCCTTTTTAGGTTCGGCAAGGAAAAAGTTGGTGCCCCAGCTTCATCTCAACCTCTTTTCAGAAACCACCCAATTACTTATGGGATAGTCTCTGCCAGTTGCCGAGAACCGAGGTTTAAATTGAACTGGGCGGGTCCACTCCAGTTCCCAGGATGGCACAACGGCTCGCGCGGATGCTCGGAGGCGTCATGCCCGGAGCCCAAAAACGGTTTGCCAGTCGAAAGCAAAGTGCAAAGGCTGCCTGCATGGGTTTCTCATGCCCCACTGTGCCATGGCAAAACCATGGCGCAGTATGCCACTGTGTCGATCTTGTGGATGTACCCGCCTGCCCCAGCCACTTCGGCACTTAGGATGCGGAAGCGAGGTTTCGCCTTGTGGATTCTATGGGTTCTTTGAATTATTTGTGTCATACTGTGGATGGACCAAGCCATTTCGCACCGCCAACCCTGGTTTCTGATGTTTCCCCTGTAAATCCCAACAACCGCTATGGTTTCAACCATGGTTTCCAAGTGTGTGAGAGGGATTTTGTTTGTCCACCGTGCTAGGGATTGGTAAGGTTTATGAGCGGGGACGAGAAGACAAGCAGAAGCAGGCAAGAGAGCAAGGGGTACAATCGAGATTCTCCCAAGATGAGCTGTATTGACCGGTGTTCCAGGTCAATCTGCAGAGAAGTAAGGTCAGCGCATCGCCGCCCCTTGTGTATGCAAGTGGGCGTGCTTCCCTGTAAACGCCTTCAAACCGTACATGTCCTCTTTGTGGGCAAGACACGAATTATTATTTTCACAGCCCCTTGGGCAGTTTCCATCATCACATGGGCCAAGGCAGCCCTTCAGGGTGCTTGTGCTTTCGATGCGGAAAGGGGAAGGGAACCCTGCGCGCCTTTTTGGGGCCAAAGACCCCATTAGTTTCAACCGCTTGCGGATGCGCCGATTGGACTAAGGCGATGTTTCTCAAGGAGCAGATTGAAGAGCAGCAGAGACGGAAGAAGGAGGAGAAGGCTCACTTGAGGTTGTGTTTGTGGGTCCCCTGTGCATTTGCAAGGGAGTTCCTTCTAGGATTCTTTTTGGTGCACAAACCTTTTTCCCTTTTAACAGTTCATGGAGCAGTCATGGAAGCAGTCGGGCGCAACTTGATCCATTCGGAGCGCATGTTTTGAATCACTGGGAATCACGTGCGCATTTCTGCAAACGCCGCCCAACAGATGTCTGGTGGTTTTCCTCTTTGCTTGCCAACCTGTTCCCCTTACTCCCAGAGTTCCTGGACTCGAAACTGTGTGGAAAGACCATTTGGCCATGGGTCAAAATCCAAACCGGAAAGCCCCCGGTGAACATCCCAATCCCCACTAAAATCAACTAAAGTGGGTGCACCTGCCCCAAAATGATACCATTGGTTTTGACCCACGGCCATTTTAGTGGTAAAACAAAAGTCAGGCCAAGCCACTGGCCAATCCGCTCCAATCCACCGGGATGGTTGGGCCACCCGGTCCCTGCGCGCAGGCCAGCAAGCTCCAGGAGGCAGCAGGCTACTGGGGCCCCGAGGACTGCTGGCAAGCACCACGCTCAGCAGCCTCAGCACCCGTTTTGGGAAGAGTAAGGTCAAAAACTCAAAAACAAAAAAAGTGCCCACATAGCCGCCCACACTCTTTGGCAAGCCCGGTTTGGAAGCTTTGTCCCGTTTCGGGTGAAAGCGGTCAGACTCGTTTCGGCTTCACTTCTCGTTTCGGGCCACGAAACCCCCCGAAGGCAGGCTCCTCTCAAAGCCCAGCAAGTTGGGCTCCGTGCAGTTTTCGGGCGCAGCTTTGCGGCTCCTTTGATCTTAAAAAAAAAAGCCTCAGTTGCAACCAGTGGGTTGCTTCCTTTTTCAAGCTTTTTTGGGGGGGTTTTGGGTTCCCCTTTCAAGTCAACCAAACAAAAAGGATGCCGATTCTTTTTTTTCCCGTGGAAATCCACTGGGCATCTGAGGAACAGTGGTTCTTGACGCTGCCAGCGAAATAAAAGACTGTTTTGGCTGTGCATTTCCTGTTGGGCGCAAACCTCCAAATGCCCACCAGCTGTTTGCAGGAGAAGCCGGCGCACACTGTGGACTCCCATCGCTCCCATTGCAATGACCTCATGAAGCAGATCGAGGCGAAGGGCGAAGGTCTCTAGATTCTAGGTTTTGAACCGGTTCTTGTTTAGATGTTCGAAAGTTCCTCCCTGTGAAACTTCCAAAGTCCAAAGTGGCAGGCTTCAGTGATCGACATTCGATCTCTTTTGCCAAGGTCCACATATATTGTGCCAATTCCAGGTCCAACGGGAGCAACCCAGATAAACTGGAGCCCAGCGTCATCTCAGCGGAGCATGTGACTTTCTTCGTCCTGGGGCCCTTGGCGGTTTAATTTGGGGTAGCCCCATCTCGATTCGAACTTGCGTCAAGAGCATGCGCTAAGCTCATGCGTGTCACAACCCCCTCCTGTGGAAGAAATTCCATCGATGGACAAAGGTGGTCGTGGATTGCGTGGATTCCGCCTCTGCCTCCCTCCAAACAAGACCTTGTCACCTTTACATTCGGATGCCTCACCTCGCGCGCTCCTTCTTTCAATGGGGTTCCCAAGGGTGACATTTACGATTCTCCAGCCCAGGAACTGGTTCAAGGACTGTTGGAACGGAAGACCTCAGCACCGGAGTCTTGAGGGATTCGCCCTGGGGCAGATAGGGCAGAAGCAGCGGGAAGGCACAGGACGACTCCCGCAAGCAACGGCTCTTCAGGTTTCCCTTGAGCCCAGGTAGGCTTAGGCCCAGGGGTGCTTTCTGTCCTCAAAAGTGGACCTCTTGGCTTCAATCTTCACTGTTCTTGGCATGTTTTTTGGTTTTTTAGTTTTTTGGTTCTGTTCATTTTACTGGGGGGTCTGCAAAAAACAAAGTTTTTAGCCACCATACCAAGAGTAGAGATGTTAAGTCTTTCCCGGAATCAAGCTTGGCCCTTTCCTTGAAGCCCTGGAGCATCATTTTCGGGGCGTTCACCGCGTCTCGCTGTTGGGAGATGGCTCAAAGGGCTTCATGGTACAGAGCTCCTTAAAAGATACATTTTGCCCGTTTGAAACATTTTGCTTTTTCAACACCAAAATAAAGAAATGGAGGCCATCATTGACAAGTTGCAATGTTCAGGTGTTTTCCATGCGTCCGGATCCCTGTACTTTTGGGTCGGCAGGGGGAAGTGATCTTCATATTTGGTGCGGACCCATTATTTTGACGGTTTCTGGAGGTTGCCAAAGTCAGAAAATGTGGTTGTTTACCTTTAACCCACTTAGGGGGTGACTTTGATCATGGCAAAATAATAAGGCCTGTGTTCTTCCTTCAATCCCAGTAAGCGATCAAATTTTGAGGGTAAGCCTACTCGGATTAGCATGGGTTTCCCAAAAAGGTCAACGGATCAACCTGTGTAGCGGGATCTCCTTTTTCGCATAGGTCTCGGGGTTGATTCCCCATTCTTTTCAACCATCGTTCTTTTCAAGCACCGGTCGTTTTTTCTGGGTTTCTGGAGGTTTTCTAGAACGATTCGGATCCCCAGAAAGAATGGGAATGGAAGGTACCCCTAGCATGGGTTTCTCAAAAATGGGGATCAACCTGTTTGGAGGGATCTCCTTTTTGCGGACCTCTTTGGGTTCCCCGAGTTCATTCGCATAGGAGGCCCCTTTCCCGAGTCTCCGGGTGCTTTCCCATGCGCCAGGTGGATCAAAACCGGCGCGTGGTGGATCGCAGCATGCGGCTCCGCCAGGAGAAGCAGATCGTCAACAACTGCGGCCCGGCTTTGTTTGCCAACGACCTTTATTTGGTTGTTGTTGGGAAACATTTTGCATTTTTGCTTATTGTGGTTTAGTTGGAAATCTCCACTTAACTGCTATTATTTTTTTTGCTCCCCTTCCAACGTCAACTAAGTTTAGGGGTTAGGGCCTCACTCCCTCAGTTCCTGAACTTTAGACTCTTGGGGGGTTGGACCATTTTAGTGCTACCCAGAGGCTCCCGAGGTATTTAGGGCCCTCAGACAGCCAGGTTTTGAGACCCCCAAACACCTCCGGGGTGTCTAACGGAGGGGTTGAAAGCTGCAGGAGCCCCTGGGAAATCAAGTTTGGTTATGTTCGGGTCTATCCACTCAGCAAGTGAGTTTCAGATGAACATGGAACCCAACAAACCGCTCGAGTCTGTTTGGGCCCGGGTTCCACGTTGATTTGCAGCGGAGTATGCGTTTATAATGAGCATTTTGGAAATTGTTTGTTTTGCTCCCCTCCACGGAAGTGAGGCATGGATCCTATCCCTCCCCAAACCTCCTGTGGGTGCAACTCCTTTCTCACCTTGTTGGTGGAGGGGGCGGGCCCTTTTAAAATCAACTACCGCGCACAAATGTGCATTTTCCCCGTGGCCTTTGGGGATTGTTGTTTAGTCGTGTGTGTGTGTGTGTGTCAGTCAATGTGTGTGTGTGTGTGTGCGCGTCAGTCAGTCAGTGTGTGTGTGTGTGTCAGTCAGTGTGTTTGTCAGTCAGTGTGGGTCAGTCAGTGTGTGTGTGTGTGTGTCAGTCAGTGTGGGTCAGTCAGCGTGTGTGTGTCAGTCATTGTGTGTGTGTTTGTGTGTCAGTCAGTGTGGGTGAGTCAGTGTGGGTGTCAGTGAGTGTGTGTGTGTGTGTGTGTCAGTCAGTCAGTGTGTGTGTGTGTGTCAACCAGTGTGTGTGTGTGTTTGTGTCAGTGTGGGTGTGTCAGTCAGTGTGTGTGTGTGTGTGTATGTGTCAGTCAGTGTGTGTGTGTGTGTGTGCGTGTGTATGTTAGTCAGTGTGTTAGTCAGTGTGTGTCAGTGTGTGTCAGTGTGTGTGTGTGTCAGTGTGTGTCAGTGTGTGTCAGTGTGTGTCAGTGTGTGTCAGTGTGTGTGTGTGTGTCAGTGTTGTGTGTGTGTTTGTGTGTTTGTGTTTGTGTCTGTGTGTGTTTGTGTGTTTGTGTGTTTGTGTGTTTGCGTCTCCCTGTGTTGTTCTGTGTGTCTGTGTGTGTGTGTTGTGTGTCTGTGCGTGCTTCTGTGTGTGTGTGTGTTTGTCTTCTGTGTGTCTGTGCGTGCTTCTGCGTGTCGTCTGTGTGTCTTCCGTGTGTCTGCTGTGTGTCTTCTGTGTGTCTTCTGTGTGTCTTGTGTGTGTGTGTGTCTTCTGTGTGTGTGTCTTCTGTGTGTCTTCTGTGTGTCTTCTGTGTGTCTTCTGTGTGTCTTCTGTGTGTCTTCTGTGTGCCTGTGTGTGTCTGTGTGTGTCTCTGTGTGTCTCTGTGTGTCTCTGCGTGTCTCTGTTTGTCTCTGTGTGTCTCTGTTTGTCTCTGTGTGTGTGTGTGTCCGTGTGTGTCAGTCAGTGTGAGTGTGTGTGTGTGTCAGTCAGTGTGAGTGTGTGTGTGTGTGTCAGTCAGTGTGGGTGTCAGTCAGTGTGTGTGTGTGTCAGTCAGTGTGAGTGTGTGTGTCAGTCAGTGCGTGTGTGTGTGTGTCAGTCAGCGTGTGTGTGTGTGTGTCTCAGTCAGCGTGTGTGCGTGTTTGTGTGTGTGTCAGTCATTGTGTGTGTCAGTCACTGTGTGTGTGTGTCTGTGTGTGTCAGTGTGTGTCAGTGTGGTGTGTGTGTGTGTTTGCGTTTGTGTTTGTGCCCGTGTCTGTGTCTGTGTCTGTGTCTGTGTGTTTGTGTGTTTGTGTGTGTATTTGTGTGTGTGAGTGTGTGTTTGTGTTTGTGTGTGTGTGTTGTGTTTGTGTGTGTGTGTTTTTTGTGTTTGTGTGTTTGTGTGTTTGTGTGTTTGTGTGTGTGTGTGCTTGTGTTTTTATGTGTCTGTGTGTGTGTGAGTCTCCCTGTGGTGTTCTGCGTGTATGTGTGTGTGTGTGTGTCTGTGCGTGTGTCTCTGTGTGTGTGTGTTTTTCCTTTTCTTTTCTTTTGTGTGTGTGTGTCTGTTTGCGTGACTGTGTGTGTGTGTGTGGGTGTGTCTGTGTTTGTGTGTGTCTGTGTGTGTCTCTGTGTGTCTCTGTGTGTCTCTGTTTGTCTCTGTGTGTCTCTGTGCCGCGTGTCTCTGCGTGTCTCTGTGTGTCTCCGTGTGTCTCAGTGTCTGTGTCGTGTCTGTGTCTGCGTCTGTGTCTGTGTCTGCGTCTGTGTCTGTGTGTGTGTGTGTGTCTGTGTCTGCGTCTGTGTGTCTGTGTCTGTGTCTCTCTGTCTGTGTCTGTGTCTGTGTCTGTGCGTGTCTGTGTGTGTGTGAGTGTCTGTGTGTGTGTGTGTCGGTGTTTGTGTCTGTATCAGTGTCTGTGTATGTGTGTGTGTGTGTGTTCGTGCCTGTGTTTCACCAACGCGGAAAACATGTGTTGGGCCCCCTATGTTGAGATACACGATCTGTGCGTCATTTTTTTGGAGTTTGGCCATTTTCTGAGAAGGATCTGTGGAAAGAATGGCGGCGCAGCCGAAACCTGTATTATGGATTTGAGCCAAACGCATGTCATTTGCGCCCCCTTTAAACCCGCGTTAGGTTGTGGTTTCCCCACTGAAAAGCGCCCTTCTTGGAGGGTCGGGGGCGATGGTTGTGTCTCCCTTTGGTTTGTCTTAAAGGGCAGCCGTCGCTATTTTGGGTCCCAATATCGTAGACAACCCCTCTGTTCGCCTCAGTTTTAAGCATACCCTTTTGGGCAGGCGGGCTTCCGCTTGGACATACTGTGGTTGGAAATCCTGCACCACTTTGAAAGCAACGGACACCATTGGTTCTCGGTATTTACAGGGGAATCAACTCAAAAACCAGGGTTTCTGAACGGTGGTGCGAGAAACGGATTTCGCAACCATCCACGTTATCAGGAGCGTTGCTTCCGCCCTGGATTCGCCTCACGGGTTGCCACGGGATGGCCTGAGGTTTGGCGCAGATGGAAGTGGACAGGGAGCTGGAGCGCCAGAAGCTGGCCCAGCACCGGGAGGCGGAATTCTGAGCTCGACTGCTATTGGGCGACGGATCTTCAGGCTTTTTCACTTTTTGGTTGAAATCAAGTATCCAACCATTGGGAGATTTGGGATGGATTGAGCCGACATCAACTTGTTGGTTGGATTTTTGGCTGGAACTACTTGGTTTTCAACTAAACCCCCCAAAAAGTTGTTCACTTTTTGCAGGGGGGTCCTTGCAGCAACCAACGTTTGGTTGTGGTTCGCCTATTGGCGTGGCGCGCGAAATCGCCCGGCGCGCTTTGCCCCCGTTGGACTTCCGTGTTGTTGCTGGGACGTTTGCCCTTTGAACAGGTTGTCTCTGGGTTCAACTTGATTACCCGCAGTTTTGTTGGGCTTTTCCCTTACAAGTGGGGGGGGGCCTTTTGAAACGTGTTTGTGGTTGTTTGTTCGTTTTGGCGTTTAGTTTTTGTTGGTGTCCACCTGAAAGCTTGGAATGTTTATACAGGTTTTCAGCCCCAACAAACTGAATCATCCCTCTTGGAGTATTTGCGCGTATTTTGCATTTGGGGCGAAGACCCGGTTCATGGATTCATGGGAATGGGCATTTGAGCAACTTGCGGTTGGGCCAATCCACCCACGGAGCAAACCACAAACCACCCGGTGCAAAGGGTCGGACTGCAACCGTTTCTTGGCCTCATTTTTAGCAGCTTTTGCCAAGTGACACCCAGCCACCATGGGCAATTAAGAGGAACAGCTATCATGTGGACGGGGAGAAACACACTTCCTCGAATGGATTCCTTTGCGGTTTGGTTTGCTCACTTTTGCGAGCCAAGACTCTCTTTGGATATGAAAAGAACGCCCACACTCATGGGCCTCATGGGGGCTTGGGAAAAAAATGGAGAGGGGGAGGGGAACCCTAAATAAGACCTTATTATGGGCTGAATCGGGGCTTACTGCGGGCTCCCTCCCCTCCCCTCCCTCCCCCCAGCCCCCAGCCCGCACACATTTTTGGGGCTGCCTTTCTCTCCCGGAGGTGTTGGTGACCACCTGGCAGAGCCAGCAACAGCTGCGCCAGGCGGTTGAACGGTTGCCTGGGGGTCCGCATGCCGCGTGCATTTGGGGAACCACTGCCTGAGTTCTAGGGGTCACTTCCATTTCCATTCTTTCCAGGGGTCCTTCTTTCTAGAAAACCACCAACAACCCTGGATAAATGGCGATCGGTTTTTGAAAAGAGCGATGGTTGAAAAGAATCCCGAATCAACCCCTAGAACTTTAGCAACTTTTTGGGAAAAGCGCTAAAGTGTGGCAAACAGAAAGTTCGGACTTTTCTTGGCCAGTCCACTCAGGAAGTGAGGCGAAGGGAGTTGCTAAGGACTGGAGTTGCTAAGGCTACTGTTTGTTGCTTGGCAAGAGCTGAGGTAGATTTATGTAGAAGTGATGTGCACTTGTATTCACACGGACATATATATATATATATAGAGAGAGAGAGTTTTGTATTTATATGCGGATCCTTGCTGCCGACACCCTTTAGTCGAAGGGAAAATCCAGGCAGCCCCATTTAGTCATAGTCTTTCTGGACATGCAATACAAGAACAACCAAAAGCGGGTAGCTTCCGTCGGCTGAATAATATGTTATTGTTGTCTCCTGGGGCCTTACAGACATGGAGAATACGCGTCTTGTTGCTCCATTGCGGTTTGGGAATCCACTGTCCGGGAGATGCCCCCGGCTAAGCAAGGAGTCAAGGCCTGTTCAGCGTCACCCCAACTCACCAACTCCCGCAAAGATTTTGTTGAGTTCAGTGCTTCGGTTTTCCATTTAGTTCCGCTTTAAAGTTGCCAAAGAGAGGAGAGGCCTCCCATCTGTCCTTCTGGGTTTTGTGCACCAGATTTTAAGGTTGGACGCCCAGCATGGCTTCGGTTTTCCTTTGAGCTTCCCTTTAAAGCCACAAATAATGAATACCCTCAAAAAAAAACGTGGGGTTTGCGCGCCTCCGCGTTCCTTGGTTTCTCGGAAAGCTCGTCCTGACGACCTGTAGATCCCAGACCGAGGGAACATGTCCGGAGCGGAGTTGAAGCGAAGGGGAGGCAATACGCTGACGTGGCACATGAAACCGTCCTAGGAATGGTTGCCCTGCATCTGAAGAGAACCCACGGGCCTAGGAGAACGGAGATTTGTCATGAATTCGTGTGTTGGGCATTGAAGCTCCCATTGAAATTCGCTCCATGGGAAACTGTAAGGCTCATTTTGCACTTATCCCAGGCGTTGATTTCACACCCGGCATCCCCCAGCCGGTATGCGTTCTCTCGAGCGCCCACCTGAACAGCCACTTGAAAATTGGACCCGTTTGATGCTTTGTCCAGCAGTCAATCAAAAGCGGCCCAAAAGAGTCGTCACCTTCAAGGCTCACCCCGTTGTTTTCTGGCATTGAGAATGCAGATGTGATTGTTGCCCTTCGTTTCCCTAGGGACCAGAAGAACAGAACAAAAAACACATCATCCATGATGGCTTAGACGGAAAGGGGATAGCGCGGAAAGGTTCCCAGCGGATCCTTTGGACGAGTGAGCCATTGCATGTTGGAATGGTGAAAGTCACTTTCGCTGACCAGGTATACAGGAACCCCTGAAAAAAACGGACATCGTGAAGCTAGTTGTTCTGGTTCACCATTTGCAGACGAGACCCCCTTCCCATTCATAGTTCTCGAGTTGTTCTGCGCCTGCCTTTGTGGAGGCTATGAAAAGCATCGACGGCATCTGATGTCCGAGGCGGGGTCGCAGGGTGCGGCTTTGTGCCGTTCAGAACAGCACTGGCCACTTCGACGAGATGAGGAAAATGTCTTCGGTGTTCCTTTTGGTGTCCCTTGAAAAGCACAAAAGAAAGGGCACCCTCAACAAAAAGACGGACCCACATTACTTTTACGACAAAGATAAGCCAGCGACGAATTGCAAACACTATTGGGTAGAGTGCAAATCATGGATTGTTTTTGGCAAGGCAAAGGCTATTCAACATGGTGCTGGGGCTGTTCCGCAAAGCCCAAACGGCCTCTTGTGGATCGCTGGGGCGACTGCGAGTCTCACTTAGTTGCCACTGGCGTTGGAGTGAATCGGCTGGAGCCACATTGCTGAGCCAAAAATGGCTCGGCAAACGGCCCTTGTCAAGTCATCAAGACTGCTTACCTTGTGAACGCTTTTGCGCTTTTAGTTTTCCCTCATTTTCCCATTCACTGTTTGAGCCGCTCTGGGCTTCCTCCATTTCCCCTCAACCCGCAAGAAGCTACGTGTTCGCAGGTGCCCGAAGTTCGGCCCAGACGTGACTTCCGCAAGCCGTATTGTCCTCGAAGCCTTGCGGCAAGTTGATTGGAGCTTCCCTAGAATAACTGGTTTGAAGGCTTGCAGCGACACTCAGCACATGGCTGACTCGTGAATTACCAGGGTGCGCCAATTTGGGTGTGCGGATATCAGATCTTTCCAGCAAGCTCGGAGAAGCCCGCGAAACAAGATATTATTGGTGTGTGAGTAAGCAAAGCCCAAAAGAAATTCCCTGAGTCACTGGACTTTATCCTATTTGGGTTTATTTTAGCGGCAAACAACAAGTTCAGACTTGTTGGGGTCAGTCGACTCTGGAAGTGAGAAAAGGAGGCCATCCATTTCTGTTGGAGTCCCTCTAAAATAAAACTCGGCTGATCACAAGGAGCCCTTTATCAAGCCCGTCTCAACCGCAATGTTCAGGTGAGTACGGGTAACCCTTTGCAATCCATTGCAAGCCAACTTGTTAGACACAAATAGCTTCTTGAATGGTTCAGTGGAAACAAAGCCACCCCGTTCTCCACTGGGATCCTTTTTTGTTTCTCCTTTTGTGTAAGCAGCACCCCTTGGCCCGATGCCAATGGAGCCGCTCTTGGGGGATACTTTGGGAAGGCAAACAAGAATGTTGACCTTTGGGGAGTCAATCCACGGAAGCCACGACCTCGCGGCGGAAAATTGTGGCTCCAGCCACTCCTTTTGTGGCAGCCCCGCTTGCGCTGACAAACGGTCGCGCGGAAAACGACCAGCCAGGAGTGGCTACGGTTTGACGTGGCATCCCCCCCCCCAACCGACAACCCTGCCTCACCGGTCCCCTGGTTTTCTGAGCAAATCGCTCAGGTCTGTGATGTTTTGTTTTCTTTTTTTTCTGGCCGTCGCTGCCATGACTTGTGACTTATGTGTGCACAACCAAGCCTTAGTAGAAAACCTTTTGCTTGCGAACGGGCCACGTGCCTGGGGTTTGCCACAAAACTCTCACCGGGATACGGAGGTTTTCCGTGGGTTGCTCCAGGTTTGCACCAGATCTGGTTTTCAGGGCCTCAGGGCCAAGGCTTCACCGGGCTTGACTTAGAGTGCGCCTCGTTCTGCCGCCGGCTCGCAGGGTCCCAACTCAAGCTACGGAATGTGTGCTCGATCACCAGCAAGTGGCAAGTTGCAAGAAGTGTGGTTGAGTGATTTCCTGAGGTTTCCGGGTGAACCAACCGAGGTTTGACCCTGGGCAAATCATGGTGGTTCTGCGATCTGGGGTCCCATGAAGGTGCATTTCATGGGTGAAGGGCAAAACGAAAACAACATGCCTTGTTCCTTGTAGGTTTGCTGGCGTCATTTTGCAAACCTTGCAATGGCAGACTGCGATGAGGAGGAGGCGGAATGGGGGGGTGGATGTCTTTTGGATTGTTCAATTTCCGTTGGGAACCGGAACGGGGTGATGTTGTTTGTTGTTTGTCCAGAATCCCAGTTACTCGCCGTCACTGAAAGTGTCGTTTGGAGAACAGCTCTTCAATCAATCCAGTCAAAGCCTGTAGATGGGACGGAGATGGAGGGAGTGAGTGGTTTCCCCCACCTGGCTCCCTTCAAGTTCTGGCAGGACCTGCGTAAAATACCACGTTGCTCTCGTCATCAAAGCAGACTTCAAAAGCTGGTTTGAACCCTTCATTTGAAGCCAAGTGGGGAAGCCATCAGGGCTGACCAAACTTTGAGGTTCCTTGGGACGTGCACCAAGCTGGTGGTTTCTTTTCACTGCTCAGAACCGAGGGCCGCATCCCGCTCCCGCCGCAGCTGAATCGACTTCCAAAAGCGCCTTGGCCGTCCGTGAGAGGCCCGAGACCCCGAGGGCACTCCAATGAGGGCGCCCTTTACAGGGCACAGCTCAACCAATTTTTTGGGGGGTTCGCCTATCTTGAGACCAAATAATCAGGATGAGGTTGAAGAACTCATGATAGGAGTAGACTCTTGGAGGTTTCTTCAGCTCCTTGTCTCCCACTTTTTTCAGCGGAAAACCAGCGTCCCCTCCTCCCAACACCCTCGGCGGCTGATTTTTTGCGGATATCGGGGTGGTGAACTGGGATTTAGGTGTTGTCTTTTTTCTTTGGAGTTGCTCGAGCCCCTTTTTGGTGGTGGAAGAAAAAACACCAAAAGGACACGGATTCCCATTTTGGGATGGGTTTCCTGAAAACAAGAGAAGGCCATGTCTCAAGTACATCACAAGTCCGCAATGAGGTACCAAGGAATTTGTGGAGGGATTTTCAGCGCCTGTCAAACCACTACCAAGAATGTTCAAAGTGGTTTGGCTTTTGTAGCTGGGTCTCTCAAACCAGGCATCCCCGATTTGTATGGCCTGATTGGGACAAAGTCGAGTAGCACTGCACAATTGTAAAGCCATCCAGATGTAGTTTGGATTAGCGGCTTGGATTGGTGGCTCACGGGCCTATTTCAGCTTGGTGAGCAAACAACATTTGCCCAGATGATTCTGACAACACCTGAATGGATTCTTGCCAGGAAGCCGTAATTTGGGCTATGCCAAACCTGGTGGTGAATCTCAATCACCCAGAGCTCAGCAAGTCTCTCACTTTGCTCTCAATATGGTTGCATCCAGTACTCCGAGAAGGGCAGATTTCTCCAAATGTGGAGTCATCATGTTTAGTTCCATGTCAATCATAGCTTGCAATTTGCACCAACTTTTGCATGTTTGGGAACGAATCCTCAGACAGCCGCCGGAACCACGGAACAAGCGTTTGAAGGGGGGGGGTTGGAACAGGACAGCAAAAGGAAGTGGTGCATCAAGGCTGACAATTTGACAGCAATATGTTCCATTCACTGGAAACAACTGTACATATGTTGTTTGGGTTCTTCCCTTTGCGGTTTACTCTTTGTCACGATTTGGGAACGGGTAGCATCACGGTTTACCCTTTGTAACTTTCACGACTTTGGTGAATTTACCTCTGGCACCACTTCGCCCAAAACCTTGTCTCCCAAGAGGGAGACACTCTTACAGCATTTCATGAATTGGGGAGGGGGTCCATTGAGATGAAAACACCTGGTAACCTGGTAGAAATTCGGACGGCTTCCTGGGAATTCCCTGCGGCAAAATGTTGATCCCCGCGCATAAAACGGGCAATATACACGGCTGGCCTTGGGTTCCTCAGTTTTTCTTGTTTCGAACCTTTGACAGCACAGGGGAGGAGCAAAGTTCACTCCTGGCCATTCAAGTGAACATGGTAGGGTTCTCCAAATGACTTTCGGGTGGGCTTGTTCATGTTCCTGTCTAAATCCGCACATGCGTGGTTGCAAAAACGCACGCGGCGCGGTTTTTTCTCCCGGCTCAGGAGAAGCTGAGCCAAGTGGGCAAGGTCACGAAGCTGCAAGTGCTGTATGCACGTGCCTGGGGTCTCCTCCAAAAACTTGTTTGTACTTTTGGGTAGACCAAATGGTTGTTGATCAAAAGGTGGTAGGAATTTTGATCAGCCGCCGAATGTGGGACAGAGTCAGAATATTGTTTTGTTATTTTTTCTCTGTGGTTTTTTGTTTTTGCAAAACCCCAGATGTCAGCCAAGGTGGGGTCCTCAAAACTGTTTCCTCCTAAAATGGTCAGTTTCCGTTTGGCTTCGGGGAACATGCCAACCAGAAGCGAACTGCATCCCCCAGCAATTCACTGAGATGCGGGGTCAACATGTATGGGGTGAGGCAACGAGGACCTTACTTACAGGAACCCGTTTAGGTCACCAAATGCTTTGTTTTCCCTCGATGATCGAGCCCCACAAGTGGGCAGTCGATGATCCATTTCAGGGGGAACCCTTCTACGCCAGTTCTGGTTAGTTTTGCATGATGAGGACTGGCTGAGATGCTGTTTATCGGCTATGTGGACTGAATTGCCTAAGACTTAGGTTTTGCGAGGTCAGGCCGTCAGGCCTGTCATGTTTCGCTGTGACAACTTGTTTGGAGGGGAGCGCCCTTTGAACTCAACTTGACAAATGTTAGGTTGGGTTGGGTTGTTGGTTGGTTGATTCGTTGGTTGGTTGGTTGGTTGGTTGGTTGGTTGGTTGGTTGGTTGGTTGGTTGGTTGGTTGGTTGGTTGGTTGGTTGGTTGGTTGGTTGGTTGGTTGGTTGGTCTCTCCTCAGTCGAGTCCACCCTTCAGGCGCTGGAGGAGCTTGCTGCCACAGGCACCTTGGACCCAACGACCCCAAGGTTCTTGGTACCCTCCCAGCTAACATGGAAGTGCACGCCTTTTTGGCACTTCCATCTTAGTTGGGAGGGTAAGCTTTGAGGCCGAATTTGTGGTCAAAGCATGTCAAAGCTTGGCGATTCGCGAATCGCCCCGGGTCCTTTTTTTTTTTTTTTCGTGGGTCGGTCTGGTGGTTGGGTGGTCCATTTGACCCACGAGTTAAACTTGTGGCAGGGGATCTGCAAACGGACCGCCCAGGTTAGACAGCAAAGGCCAAAGAAGGCCATGAAAGCCTTAGTTCATGAACTTTAAACTTGTTGGGAAGTTTAGACTTTTTGTGGGCCATCCACTGCCTGTCTTTGAGGACCTGCGCACGGCGAAAGATTTGACACCAGTGGTGTTGCCCCAGTATCTCTACTTCCTCCACCCAAGACGGCAAGTGCGCGGCATTTTCCCCCCGAACCAAACAGACAACCACTTCTAGGTTTTTCAGTAGTGCCCTTTTGCCCGTTTTTGGCGGAGGGTTCCCCTACTAAAATAGACAACATCAAAAAGGGTACCTTTATTCTAACCTCCCTACTGCAGGACCTAGACTTTCTTGCGTCAAGGCACCCGCCAGGCTTGACTTCCCCAGCCATGGGAGGGACGGGTAGCCTCTGCGAAGACACTCGCTTTCCAGGCGCAGGCTTTGGTTGGGAAGGGGCCGTTTCATGCCCCAAACGACCGGCCCAAGCCTCACTTGCGCGGAGAAGCCAAAGGGCGACGTTCAGGAGGACAATGCTGCTGCGATAGGCAGGGAATGATAAACCATCCCTTGGGGTTTCCTTTCAGGGGACCCCTGGGTTCATTCCCACATTCCCTGCTGAGCAGCAAGACAACGTCAATCCTTTGCGACTCGACCACTTCCGAGTCTCAGAACTCGTAAGGCGCCATGCCGAGGGATGAAGATGAGCGAGTAAAATGGATGGACTCGTGCCAACGAGATGTAGGATCTGTCGATCAGATCTAGTGGGTTATCCTTCAAGTCCATCAAAGCCAGTGCTACAGCATTATTTTTCTGAACGTTGCGTTGAACGCCCAGCGCTTTCTTTTTTTCAAGGGCCGGTTGATTTGATCCAGAGCTGCGGCCGAATTTGTGGACTCGGTGCATTTTGGGAACGGGGCGCGCTGAGGATTGAAGGATTTGCCCGATGTGGCATTTCTGGCCATGGCTGTGAAGCCCTACGCATCACGCCCCCCTCTACCTGCGGAGGACAAATTAAGCAGCTTGGCTGTTGCGCCTTGTGAATCTCAAAGTATCTGGTTTGATTCTTTGTCGTGTCCACGGAACGCAGCAATGAGTCTGATTTTCTTGGAGGCTGGCTTAACGCAGAAGGTTGTGCCGTACTTGCGAAACCGACTTCAAGATCCAACCCACCCCGTTCCTCAAGAGTCCTTTGCTCATGTACAGTCCCAGGGAAGTCGCGCTTCAACATTTTTCATGGCCCCACCCTGGCTTTGGCATGCCCGTTTTTCCGCTTTTCCTGTTGTTTCAGGAGTATGCAGATTCGGCATGGGTCATGCCTCAAATTGTTTGGTATGGTTGCCAAGAATTTCTAGGGTTGACCCTCACCCATCTCCCAGCGTTCTGTAAGGAGGATCCCGGCATTCAGACAGCTTGGAATTTGCTTTCAAAATTGAACCCCTCCCCCCTCTAATCAATGCACTCTATTGACGAGATGGTTTCCCACATATCAGGTGCCCAGTACTGCCTTGCCAAGTCAAACAAAAAAAAGACAGAGGAGCCCCCCGTTTCTATTGGCTTCTTGGCTTTAAAGCTCACCACTTGGCCTCACCCACTCCTCCCACGCCCAGAAAACGCGCCAGGCCTCAAGCCACCCACGCCCCCAGAAAACCTTACAGGTCCCCCCACCTCGCCCAAGCCAGCCCTCCCCAGCTGGAGGCACCTACCAGGCGATGAGCCTTTGGACCTGGACTCCCAACTGCCGGGCCAAAGCGCAGTCGCAGCCGCAGGCAGCGGCATCCGAGCACTCCGCCCACCGTGGGTTGGGTTTTCCGGTTGTTTGGTTTCCAGTGGGTCAACCTCGGTTGGGTTGAACTTCTTTCTTTGGCGTGGTTTCATTTGACTTCTTGTTTGCCGGTCGGGGGGGTGTTGAACTTGATTTGTTTTGTGTTTTGCTTGCTGGCTTGGCTGTCAGGTTTGTATTTGTTTTGTTGCGTGTTGCTTTTGGCATGCATGCTGTGTGATCGCAGAATTGTTTATGTGTCCGTGCCTGTTGTTTTGGTCAGGTGTGTTTGTCCGGCTGTCGGTTTATACCCTCCAGATTTGATGCTTGCACAGCAGAAAACCAAAGCCGGGAGATGCTGAGTAGGCTGCCCATCTTTTCTATTGGCGCAAGCGAGCCTACAGTTTGCATTTATTTTCAGCAGTGAGCCGAGAATGTGTGCTTTCTGTTTCACCGACAGTTCTGTTTTACAAGATGCCGCGCATGAAGAATTGTCCTCTTCGCTGATTTGTTTTTTCTTTTTCGGATGACTCCAGCGATTCCAACTGAGCCAGGCCGCTTTGGCGCCTTCGGCAACTTCGGTGTCGGCAGACGAGCCGCCGCCCCGTCTTCGGGCGATAGCAAAGGCCGGACTCCACCTGGGCTTTGGTGTGACACCCCCCAAGAGGCCCCCGAGACTTGTGGGGAACAAATGGAATTTTCATTGAACCAACAAAAGGTTGCACCTTTCGATTGGGGGGGACAAATGGCTTTTCCATTGAACCAAAAAAAGGTCGTACCTTTTTGATCGGCGGGAGGGGGGGGGGGAGATGGCGTTTCCATTGAACCAACAGCCGAAAGGATGCCCGGGCGTTTCCATTGAACCAACAGAAGGTTGTACCTTTTGATTGGGAAGATGGAGAGGACAAAAGCAAGCTTGGTGTGTGACAGGGTGCTCTTAACGCAGGGGGCAAAGTTGCGGAGGAAATGGCAAGCACGCTGGCCATGTCAGGCCAGCGAATTCCCATGTAGGGGGCCAGACTTGGATCCAGAAATTTGTGACCCTATGTTTTTCTCAATGCGAGGCGTCCAATTGAAGCCAAGCGGAAACGGGTCATAGCATCAACAGCTTCAAGCTTTTGGGAGCTAAGGGCTTCGAGTAAAGTAGCCAGATACCCTTTCGAGTTGGCCCTCGTAGCATATCGTGACTCGATGTAGCTTAAACCAATGGCTATGGGGTATAGATTGGATATAAAGTCATGATTTTTTGTGTTTCAGAGTGACTGGCCGCTGAAAGTGGAGCAATGAACATACATCATTGCAACAAGACCTACACTCTTTCTCCAATCGCGGAAGCCAACAGGATGGTGTTGGAAGACTACGGTTCTCTTGAGAAAGCCAGCAGGTGTCCACTTCCATGGTCGTTGGAAAGAGGATACTTAGATGGTTTGCGTGTCGGCTAAAAGGTTGTTCACGAAGGTCATAACCTACTTGGTGCACTTGCAACCATGGTAAGACCATGGTGACTAAACCAATCGGCTTAGCCCTGGATCATCTGAGCAACTCCAATCAGAAGAAGTGGCGGCAAGACGTCAGGACATCACCGCGAGGGTCGAGCGGTTGAAGGCCCGATTAAAGGATCGAGCAGAGCGACTCGATTGCAGTTCTGCTTGAATTTGAAGGCATCGAATTTGCCTTTGTGGCCTTGACTTCAATTTTCGAGTCCTTGAATTTGCCTTTTGTGACCCCAAAAAAAGTTGCAGTTTCATGGGAACCTACGAGCTAATTCGTCAGACATGCCACTTGAGAGCAAGGAGCATTAGTCCCGTCTCCCGATTTGTGAACGGACACAAAAATGTAAACCCCTCCTGCCGACCCCGAAAATCTCCCATACTAATTTGAATTTACCCAATACTAGACCAATACTAAGCTCTCTGGAAACCAGATGAACTCAGCCAAACTCCCGAGAGGTGCTTATGAGGGGCCACCAAAAACTGCTTTGCGGGCGAGGTTTGTATTATTAGGGTCTCCATTAGGTTCGCTTCATACAGTCTCTTTTCAACACAATCAAATTAGGTGTATGTTTTTTTTAGGTGTATGTTTTTTTTGGAATGGCACCTTCCCTATAACTGACAGTGCTTACTCAACAAAATCGCATTCTGAACACTTGTTTTGTGGCAAATCAAAAGGTTCCCCCTTTTCATGGAACCCAAAACTAAACAACGCACCCAGAAACAGCTGGCTTGTCCTTCCAATTTTGAATCTGAGCCGCACACCATGGCCCTGAACTGTCCTCAACAGTCGTGAAAACGACCCTTAGTTGCCACAGTCATTTGTTTGGCATGGTCCCACAGCAGTCTTTGTTTTTGTTTTTTGCCACTCGGGATTCGGGGTTGAAACCCTCCAATCTGCGAGTCCATGTGGACTCTCCGAAAGCCTAGAGACCTGGAATCATAGCAAAAAGCATATCTCCCGTGAGTCGATTCGATGGGTAGCACAGCCACGGGATCCAGGGTTTCTCTAAGGAAGTCCCGTGACGATGAAACCAAAGGAAACTCCAAGAGTATCAACGTCTTCCAAGCAAGTCCCTTGTCGATGTGGGTTGCATCCTTCAAACAAAGGAGTTTGTCCTGGCTGAGACGGCGGAGAAGGTTTCAACCCCGCGCGCCGGAGGTGGTGGTGGACGAGTGGCTGCAGGACCGATTTGAAAATCGGGACAGCCTACGACTTATTCAGGTAGACCGCTTGTAGGTCCAAGACCTCATAGGCCAGTTCTGAAATAGTGGGGGCACCGAAGGTATATCTGTGTGTGTGATGTTGTGTTCGCCTTTCAACACCCTAGTTAGTTGTAGGGCGGTTTCAGTAGTTGCTGTTGCAGGATCATACCTAGGGGCCACTCCCAAGGTCCGGGTGAAAGGCTCTCCAAAGTTCCTGGGTACCCAGGCAGGCAATTCCTAGAGCAGTTTCACTTGCGGAGTTTTACGCCTCTGTGAGGGATGTATACTGGTGCAATGGTCCATAGGCCTCCCCCATTTTGACTAGGTCCCCCAGCAGTCCCCTTTTACCAACTTTTTTGGCGGAGGGTTCCCCTACTAAAATAGACTACAGACAAAAGGGTACCCTTATTCTAACCTCTCTGCTGGAGGACCTAGTATGGTGGGTTAGATTGATTCCAGTCATTGCAGGGATGTTAGTCTGGAATCTCCCCCCCCCCACTTTTCTTAGGAATCCCACCCCCCGGGGAATTCCCCCCCCCCCACTATTTTTGGGAATCCTCCCCCCCTCCACTTTTTTTGGAATCCCCCCCCCACTTTTTTGGGAATTCTCCTTTTGAAGGAAACAGCCTCTTCACCTTCACCCAACGTTTTTGTGGAATCCCAACCCAGCTTGTCAACTCGAGGCCATGCTGGCCGCAGACGCCCAGCTGCGGGAGATGGCCACCATGGGCGCGGTCAAAGTTCTGGGCGACGGACCAGGCGAGCGCAGAGCAGCCGAGCAGCACGCGCTGAAAACGCGCGTTGTTTGTCTTGTTTGTTTTTGTTATTCATATTTGTTTGGTGTTTGTTTGGTTTTGTTGTGTTTGTGTTTTTGTTTCTTTGTTGTTTCTGTTTTGTTTCCCGAATGTGTAGCGAAGGATTCCCGTTACTTCTTAAGTGGGGTCTGGGGGTAAGGTTGTGTTCGCTGGTTGGCTCGCGTGTGGCCGAAAGCGTCCGTAAAGTGTCCGAAAGCGTTCGAAAGCGTCCGCGAGAGTTCGCATGTGGAAAAAGTTGCCGTGCCTTCAAGATTGTCGCAAAAAGTGACTTTTCGATGAGTCTTGAAGCGCTGAATTCGTGCCCGTGCGTGAATCGTGTCTTTTGCAGCGTTGCGTGTTATTTCGCTGCGCAGGCACAGTGTTTTGGAAGTGAAGAGAGAGAGAGAGAGAGAGAGAGAGAGAGAGAGAGAGAGAGAGAGAGAGAGAGAGAGAGAGAGAGAGAGAGAGAGAGAGAGAGAGAGAGAGAGAGAGAGAGAGAGAGAGAGAGAGAGAGAGAGAGAGAGAGAGAGAGAGAGAGAGAGAGAGAGAGAGAGAGAGAGAGAGAGAGAGAGAGAGAGAGAGAGAGAGAGAGAGAGAGACGATCAGCAGTGTCAATCAGAAGTGTTGTTGAGAAGTGTCGGTCAGAAGTGTCGTTCGGCATTGTTCTTCAAAATTATCGCTTTGAAGTGTGGAATAGAAGTGTCAATCAGAAGTGTCAATCTGAAGTGTCGTTCAGTAGTGTTGCTCAGAAGTGTCGATCAGAAGAGTCAATCTTAAGTCTCGATCAAAAATATCGAATAAAAACATCGATCAGAACTGTCGCCAGAAGTGTCGCGCAGAAGTGTCGATTAGCAGCGTCGATCAGGAGTGGCGATCTGAAGTGTCCGCAATGTCATCATACTTCAAATGTCGATCCAAAAGCTGGCGGACAGATTGCATCTTGCTCGCGTGTCTTGAAAATGTGCGGGTGTGTGGTTGTGTCGGGGTATGAAAGATAGCGAGCAGACTGCATTCGGGTTCGTGGCTTATATCAGTGTGTGTTTTTGCGTTTTGGGCTGGTCCGTGAGCGCAGAGAATGATGGATCATGATGGGTTCATGCAAGTGGCTGATAGTGGCTGCATTCCCCGGTTTTGTTCATTTGTTGGTAAAGGTCCTAAAAGGCCAACCTTTTTTCCCAGCTTTGGTCAACGTCACTGGAATGGACACTGCATGTGGGTGTATCTCAAAATAGGCGTCCACTCAAAGCTGACAAGAAAAGGGCGCCAAAAACACAAATGTTTCCCATTTCGATGGTTTGAACAATTGGTCGCCACCGTTTAAGTCAGCCTTTTTGATGATGATGATGATGATGATGATGATGATGATGATGATGATGATGATGATGATGCTGATGATGTTCAGAGGAACACAGAGGCCGGGACTGGTTTGGGAGCAGCCGTGATGGTGATGCCACACCGGCAAGAACAGGAATTTGGCCCCGTCCCCACTCCTTTTGGCTTGCCCAAATGTAGCCTTGCTGGGTGCCAAGCCACCCATTCCGCGAAAGAAAGAAGCAGGGGAGATTGACATGTGCCAACGACAACAGCGAGAGTTCACAGGCGCACAGACGTTCTGACTGCTGTTTGTCCCCTCGCGCAGCGCGTCAGGGGCCTTCCAACCGCCAAAGGGGATTACTCGCAAAACGGAGGGCTGCAACCAGGGAGGGGAAGTACATTGGATGGCTGCGTCCATTTGCAAAGCTTGAAATAGCCTTCCCAAAGCCTTTTGGTATCCCAATTCGGATCTGCTGTTTGGTCTGACCGCTTCCCAACGAAGGCGGGAATGGTCAGCTTTTAGTCGGCTTGTGGGTTAAAACCTGCCAGTTTTGGAGCAACAGGGTTCCGAATCTCAAAAGCTCATGACCAAGCCAAATTTGGTGTCCAACTTTCAACCCTCGTAAAACGGTTCTTGGAGCCACGGCCGGCTATGAGCTCGGCAAGACATAGCCTCAGGCGGGCCAACCGGAGAAAGGTGCACTCAGTCCAAAGCGAATTGAGCTTTTGACCCGTTGGTTTCCCCATGTTGAGACGTCCCAAAATTCTAGGGGTACCTTCCCCATCTTTCCATGTTTGTTCCTACGTCACTCGTTCAGCATTTGATGTTCTACTGTTTGAGAATATCATCTCACTTCCTGAGTTCATGGACTTTAAGCTTTTTGGGAAGGCCAATTTCGTGGAAAACAACAAGCTTGGACTTCTTTTCGCCATCCATTCCGCGCGCCACTTCTCGCGCTAGGCGTTCTGTTTGAATACAGCCCAGCCGCGCGCCCGTCTGCCAGACTTCCAGCACTGAGGCGTGGGCTGAGACGGCCTCCCTATCCCTTCCTCTTCGGGCGCGCTCCCCTCCAGTGGAGAACTCCACTAAAGGAAAACAACCAGGGGTTCATTCTTCCGGGATTCCCAGTCATAAACCGTCAAGAGGCGAACAACTCAATTCAGATCAAAGCGAAGGCACAGTAAAAGTAGCACTACGCAGATATTTACCCCCCTGCCGTTTTTCATGGAACTTAAACAGCCATCATTGTAGAGGAACCTCGTTTATAACCCCCCCGCCCCCTGTGGAGTCCAACTAAATTTGGGGAATAAGCTCTATTATTTTCAGGGAAGCCGAAGCTGGTATTCTTGAGCTTTTAGCCCATCCTTGACCCTCAAACAGCAAGATATTTCTCCGTGTTTCCAACTCCCTTTATCTCCGTGTTTCCAAAAACAGCAGAAACTACAAGTTTTTGGGGATTTGCGGGTTTTTTTTGCTGGCGTTGTGCGGGTTTTTGCGGGCGTTTTGCGGGTATTTTTTTGCGAGCAAAATTTGGAAAATCATCAGGGCCACCCCCAAAAGCCTCCAAACTTGCACTACTTGAGCCCAAACTGGGCAATCAGGAATGAAGGCAGGTGTCAGCTGAAGCAGGTTAACTAAGCTAGAACGACAACACCAAATCGAAGCCCTTGCGCTTCAATTTGCTGGTAAAAGGATGTGAAAGGCTTCGTGAGCTCGAACGGTATCACTTGGCATCACAGTGAATGAGGACCTGCTCTTCATGTGTCTCAAAGTTGCTCAAATTGTTGTTTGATGTGTTGCTGTTCCAGCTCTAGGCAACACAGAACTGTTTGGATCCAGAAGGAACTCAGAGGTATAAACAGCCGCACACCAAAACAGACGAGTTGCCGTGAGATTTCATGTGTCCTTCAGTGGCTATCTTAAACCCTCCAAAGGGTCGATTTCCTGTCCCTGACACTTTGCCAGTCGATTGGGGCTCAGTTTCCTTCGTTGGTGCGGGTCCCTCACCACGGCCCTTGACGGTTCGGGCGCGGGTCGGGTTTAGCTTTGGGGCCATCCCAACAAACAGAGTCCTTCAAAGGATGCAGTCAATCATCACCGACTGAAATCGCTGATTTGGGAACGCATCCGTTTGCAGCCTTGCCTCCCCAGACATGCCCAGAACCAAAGCGCAAAAACCCGACTTCGCAGAACTACTGGGAACCCAAGATTCAAGAACTGGCTGATTTTGCTCGGAGGCGCAACCCACTTTAGAAGGGAATCCGGATCGCGCTTGAAAGTAGCACGCCCGTCCACGGGGGCCGTCATTACTTCGCAGAGCCGCAAGCGCAAAACCTCGCAGAATGTTGTAAGCGACCCTTGCCTTTAGACGCCAATGGCAAAATGCACCAAAAGATCGCGAGGAGCAAATGCGACAAAACACGGATATAACTGACTGAAGCCCGCCAAAAATGCAGACATGAATGCAAAAAGCACCACCCAAAGCAACCATCCATGTGCCATCCCGCGATTGACATCCCGCGATTGACATGCCCTTGGCCCCTGTCGACCCCTTAAACCCTCAGCCAGTAGAATGGGCCTGACGTCAAAGCAAGAAGTCCTCGGCGCAAAAAATGCATTGGGCTTCGCCCTGCACCTAAGCACCCAGAGAGAAAGGTTTGGATGCAGAATGCAGGGCTGTAGGAACCACGTCCTTTTTGTGACGTCGCGTCTAGAGTAGGCCCTTTTCCTGGCAAATCCCCACTTTCCACCATGGACATTTGCCAATTTGTTGAGATTGATAGGCTGGGGGGTCTTCAAAATTGGCGGACAAATACACATTCTGTGATTCCAAAAGGGGATTCGCATCCCCATGCCTACTTCTCTATTGGGTTCCGGGATTCTCCTGATATCACCAATCAAGGGCACCACCTACTTTCCCAGGAAGGAACCTTGCTCGTTGACGAGATTCTTCACCCTTCCCCGCAAAGTCCCCCCAGATTTCCCGGGTTTGAATATCAAAAACACTGGGTAGAGGTAGAAGCGGTTTCAAACCGCCAGCATTTCCCATGGGTTTTGCCTTGGCCAACTGTTCTAGCGCTACCTTCCCCATTCCTTCCAGGGTTCCTGCTTTCTAGAAAACCCCCGGGAAACCCAGGGAAACGGCCGGTTTTTGAACAGAACCATGGTTGAAAAGAGTGGAAAAGGAATCAAGCGTTAGAACTGTCTCCTTCGAGGCTCCCTGGAAATTCGCCAGAGCAATCGACCCACAGAAAGCCGTCGCTTGCCGCCAGCCTGCGCCCGGACTGGCAGAAGCGGGGCCACTTCGCCCGCTTCGAGCCGCGGAAGCTGCCGGGCCAGCCACTCACGGTGCAACCTGCCGCGCCTTCGGCGCCCACGGAAGTGTCTTAAAAGTCATCGTGAGGTACTTGGAATTTTGTGGGGGATGACCGAATTCACCCCAAATGGGTTATGTGGGGAATGGCCCCCCAACCACCGCAAGTTTCAGGCTGGTGCAATATTATCTCAGAAGCTAAAAAGCGAAATCTCCTGTTTCTCATCCAAAAAGGCTATCGGAAGTCGGCGCATGGGCTCCCCTTCCCTGACGGGTCAGGGAACTCCGCGCGATGATCAAAGACCATGGAGCAAGTGCTCACACGGCATCGAGATTCAGCCCCTTTTCGGCTGTCTCATCCAAAACACCTACCACTGCTCAAGCCTTTTTCTCACACCGTCGTCACCGTCGGGTCCTCCACCACCCCGTTGACACAGAACCTGCAAGGCCGGAGCGGCATGCTCCTGAAGTGTGCCATCATCGGCACGCAGGTCGGGGTCGAATGCAGCCGGCCATCCTCTCCCTTCCACGCCGTGGCATTGCGATCCCTCTGCATCCTCATTCCCAGCCAGCAGTTCGGCACGGCAGCAGGGACCTCATGCCCCTGATCGTCGCCTGCCTCAATCCCCAGCACTCTCGGTTCCAGTGGTACCGTTCCCCCATGTGCGTGAGGTGATACAGCTCCACCGGCTCCCGCTGCAGTTCTTCCTGCCTGGCCATCGGGGTCTCCGCGATGCTCCCCATCGGCCTTGGCGTGTCATGCCTCCTCTGCCGAAGGCGAACCCCACTGCTCGAAGACTCCGAGCTCTGACTCGCCGAGCGACTCTCCACCCGAAAGTCCTCCTCCTCCATCTCTTGCTCCTCACGATGCCTTTGCTGAAGGCGCTCCAGGCGAAGATCCCGCCTGACCTCTTCCCACACGCGCCTTCTGATCTCCTGCTCCGTCTCCTCCGACGTCGTCTGCACCTCCCGGTTCTCCACCAGGATCTCCACGGTTCCACGTCTCCGCTGCTGCAGAATCGCCTTCACCATCTCCTCCACCAGCTTGTAGCAGATCACCGACATGATCGCCACCACCACCACGAGGACCGTCAACGCCCCGGAAGCGTTTTCCACCTGCTGATCACTTTGGGCTTCCGCCCCCTCGACCTTCAACGTCGCAACCGCCACCAGGATACCCATTCCACCACCGGTAGTCGAGGAAGTCCCCCTCAACCCTTTTCTACTCCGCCTCCCAGACTCCACAGAGCTCGGCTCCAACCACTCCACCGGCTTCTGATCCTGGGAGGTCACAGCGTTCGCGTCTGACCCTCTCGCGGTGTTCCAGGACGAAGTTGCCGTAGGGCTCGAGTTCAACCATGCCGAAGAGCTCAAGGTAGAGGACACCGTAGGGCTCGGGCTTGACCTTGCCGAAGAGCTCAAGGTAGAGGACACCGTAGGGCTCGGGTTTGACCTTGCCGAAGAGCTCACGGTAGAATACGCCGTTGGGCTCGGGTTTGACCTTGCCGAAGAGCTCAGGGTAGAGGACGCCGTAGGGCTCGGGTTTGACCTTGCCGAAGAGCTCAAGGTAGAGGACGCCGTAGGGCTGGATTCCGCGAATGCCGACGAGCACAAACTCCCCGGTCTTACCCCCAGTGTCCTCATGCCCCCCTCCAACTTCCTTTCTACCTTTTCTCTAACCAGGTTCCGGACCTTCTGAATCCCCACGCTCCTCACCTGGTTGACCAGCACCATGAGCCCTCCTGCCACGAGAGCACCACCAATCTCGCCCATCTCCGGCGGTCCACCAGCCAACCTCCTCATCGACAAAAGGGTTCCTCCCACCGCCACCGCGGCCACACCTTTGACCACCGCCTCTCTAAGGTCATTCTCTCCTCCCTGCGTCTCCTTCTTCTCGCTGTAGAGCCCAATGCCCTTCCGAAACCTCTCCAACGGTCCAGCAGGCAGGCACTTGGTCAACGCATCTGCCCACAGTTTGGTTCCTGGTCGGTGTGTCAAGCTCAGCTCCTTTTCCTTCACCGCCTCCGCCAAACAATTGGCCCTGATCCTCAAATGTCTCGTCCTCCATCCTCCCCCCTGACCGCTGGCCAAGATGAGACCTGCTCTGTTGTCGTTGTAGAGCTCAAGCTCCACCTCATCCTCCACCAGGCTCACCAGAGCTCGCACTGACCTTCCCGCTTGCACTCCCTCCATCAACGCCGCAAGCTCAGCCTCGGCTGTCGACAGAGCTATCAGCCCTTGCTTCTTCGACTCCCACTGTATCGGCACTCCCCCATACAGCACCACCAGCCCAGACACGCTGTGCTCATCCTCCACCCCAAACGATGCATCCACCAAAACCTCCACGGTGCCATTGCGCCTTGGTGTTCTTCGGAACATGTCCGGGTCCTCCTCCTGAACCACCTTCGGTCCGTAGTGCAGGGCATAGTCCCACGTCCTGCAAACATATGCCAAGACGTTCTTTCCCAGCTCAATGACCCAGGCCGGGTCTCGCGTGGCCTTCTGTGACATGCGTTGAATCGCTGCTGCCACATCCGGCCGGGTCCGACCACTCAGCCACAACAGCTCTCCGGTGAGCTTCTGGGCCTGCTTCACTAGCTTGAGGGTCGGCTGCACCACCTCTTTTTCCTCAGGCACTCTCACGTAGGGGCTCTCCGTCACCACCTCATGCCTGTTCAGGAGTTCTCTCGCGTAGCTCTTCTGGTGAAGTAATCAGCCTCTCGTTGAATCTCCATGCCCAAGAATTTCATGGGCTCCGAACCCACCTCCGCAAATTCTGGTGCCGACGTAGGCCATAAAGAGTTCAACCTCTTCGTGAGCTCCTCCTCCACGACATTCGGTCCAACCGTCAAGAAGTCGTCCACATAGATGGCTACAAAGCCCCTCACCTCACCGTACAGCTTCTTCTCCACATTCTTCACCTCCTTGATGGCCCACAAATTGGAATCCTTCATGGCCACCAGCCCCAGAGTCATCGGCTGCCCGTCAACCACCTGGGTCCATTCCATGGTGCGCAGGGTGTTGTCCCGATGCCCTGCCCAATCCCGCGGAGCTGTAGTCAGACCATACATCGCCCCTGTCACTATCCATCGCTCCTGGGCATTCACCAGCCCAGCCTCCTCCAAGATCCTCGGGGGTTGAACCACGATCAGCTCGTCCTGGCTCGTCGGCGCCAAGAGAAAGGCACACTTCACATCCAGGGACATGACGTCCCAGTTCATCAAGGCTGCCTTCCGCAGCAAGGTTCGCACCTGGGTTGCGTCCGCACCTGATGCGTAGAGCTCCTCCGTGGCCCTGTCGTTCATCCGGTTCCCGCAGCATACAATCCGTGACCGGTGCCTTCCTGAGCCGGACTTCCGCGTGAAGACGCCCATCGTAGGAATGACCTCAACGCTCTTGCCACTCAACCTGGCTTGTTCCATCACCAGCTCAGCCTCCCCCTTGGACACTCTCTGAATGGCCTGATTGCTCACGAAGTTGTCCACCTCCGCTTTCATCGACGGCACCCAGTCCTCCAGATTCTTCCGCACCTCCTGAAGACCAACCGTCCTCGTCTGAAGGAACAGCTCCTCACTGACCTCCTGAACCCCCTCCAGCTCTACTTGGCAGGCCTTCATCTGAACCTCCTCCAGCCTTCTCGCAATCTCCTCATTCTCCGAGTCCACCTGGTATATGAGGTCAATTGCCACTCCATCATACTCCTTTCCAACCTCCACTTTCCGAAATTCCTCATTCGCCAACTCACTCCCCCTCCACAAGCGCTGTTGAAGCTCCTCAACCACCAGATCCTTGACCGCGGTCTTCTCCCGAAGTCGAAACCTTGGCTCTCCAAGTGCCCGCAGAGGTCCTTCTCCTGTTTTCCTCTCCTGCACATCCAAGGCCCCTTCTAGGCCTCCATCCTCTCCTTCAGGCTGCTCCGAGGGAACTACATCCACCACCCTAACGAACTTGCCCTCCTCGGTTTCCACCACATGGCCTCCCGAGGTCAGCGACATTGATACATCAGGGCCTCGGACCCATCCCCTCCTCCTACGAGCGCGCCAATGCCCTTGGAAATCATCCCAGGACTTTGTCTTGACCATCACCTCCCGGTTGTAGGAGAGCAGCTCCGGGGTCACATACCCCAGCGCTTCCAGCTGAAGCCGACCTCGCCGTTCCCCCACATGGCGTGCTATCATAGGCCATTGTTCTTCCGGGAGTCCAGTTGCCTTCAAAACCACATTGATCCCTCTCCGAATCAACCCAACTTCTCCTTCTGCGCGGCCATTCGCTTTCCAGTCTCCCCCAGACGTATAGGTCCGCAGGATTTCCCGGTGCGAGCACCATCTGCGCATCGCCTTGCTGGCCAGCTCTCCCGCCCTATCCGAATGAACTCGCCGGACAGGGAGATTCAGGTAGTTCAACCTGGCCACCATCCTCGCCAAGGCTCCCAGCAGCTGATGCCCTTGCCGACTCGCCAGAGGCTCTACCATCGTGTAGTTCCGAACCTCTACCTCCTCCGGCTCCACCAGTTCCTCCCACTTCTCCATGTCCCCTGGGTCACCCTCCTCATGCTTCGGCAGATCTTCACCGTCCACCTCCGGTAGAAGTTCACCTTCTCCAACCTCCAGCTCAAGCGCCCCAGGCTCCTTGCTCAGCACCTTGTCCATTCGCGGTGCCAGGCCAACCACCTCCTTGCCCTTCCTATACACCGGAACCGTGAAGACACCAACCATAAAGTATCGACTTTTCGGCTCATCCAAATCTCGCCCCGGACGAAATGGGCCACAAAGATCCAAGGACAAGGTATAGGTGTCCGGGCTTGGAATTCTCCGATGTGCCCGGGCTCTTCCCGCCCCTCGTTGACATTCAGGGCATTCCCGGCTAAACGGCATGTGATCCATGGCACAATGCCTCCTCCACTCCTCCTTCGACAACCGTGAAACAACCGGATGTTCCAGCTCCAACAAGATGCCCTTCACGACCTCCAGCTTGAAGTCCACTGGCCATGCCGCCCAAGACCGAGACGCTTTCATCCGTCCGTCCAGCCCCAGCGTTTCATAGTCCTCCATCACCTGCTTCCCTGAGCCACATCGTCCCTCCAACATTTTCAACGGGCGCAGATTGGTCCCCAGCGTCGAAGGCTTCCTCCTGCTATGGCCGCAGGCTCCCATATCCATACGGATCTCCTCTAGGGCATACTTCTTCTTGAAGGCCTCCCACTCTGGCCAAGCAAAGAAGGACGGATAGTCAATCCCATCCTGCGTGTCCTTGTACTCCTGCGGGTCCCGTGGGTGCTCCTTCAAGAAGCTCACCTTCTTCTGCCGTGACCCCTGGGCCAACGTATACAACCACAGCTGCCTCATCCAGAGCACCGCATCTCCCCAGGCCAACTCCTTCTGAGCCACCGTGAGGTCATCCAAAGCAAACCTCTGTGGTCCATCCCTCGACCTCAATGGGGGTGGACCAGGCGACCTAAATCGAAGTTTGCTCACCGTGCGACAGTGGACCCCCGATCAGGCTGTCCACATTGCCCTGCTCGCACACCTCCGCCAAGTAGCTCGCCACCTCATCTCGTAGCAAGTCCTGATAAAGGTTGGCCTCCTTATCCACGCACAGGACCGCCCGACTCTTCGTCTCCAGCTGCCTCTTCCACCACGACTGATCCGGGCCAGAGAAGAGGTGGACGATCACCGAGTCGCACGTCCGAAACCGCTTCCTCTGCCTCCTGTTCCAAGGAAGGGAAGACCCATCCCAGTTTCCCGTGGGAATGACTCTTACCAGGAGATCATGCGGCACCTCCGGCCGCATTTCTCGCAAGTCATTCAACCACCTCCACACTCTGGGATCAAGATCACCCGGGTCTCCAGCTCGAAGAGCGCGGCACCTTCTTTCTGCCTCCGTCTCCTCCTTTTCTAGGCCATCGATCAACTGCCAGGCCGTCTCCATCGCCACCGTCGGACACCCCGATTGCAGCTCCACCTCCACCTTCGATCCGCTCCCATCGCACATTTCAAACGTGTCGTTCTCCCAGGTCACCTTGTAGCCCATCCTGACCACCTTGCCCAAGGGAATGATGACCTGCGTCTCGAAGTTGGTGAGCAGCGTGCCTGTTGCCGGATCCTGCCGTAAGACCGTCTCCCCCGCCGCCAGCTCCACCTTGATCGGCAGAGCCTCGTCGTACTCCTGCTCCGTGAAGGCCGGACGAAGGATGTGCGTGGCCCCACCATCCAGCAAAGCCCGTCCCCCTCCGGCTTCCTTGAGCGAACTCACCTTCACTGCCTTTGCGCTCGGCTTCAACGACCGCAAGAGCTTCACCGCCTCCATCATGAGCTCCCCACTCGAGTCCTCCTTGCCCGATCCCGTAGATGCCATAGCCGAACCCGGCGACGTAGTGCTTCCTCCAGCTCCACGCTCACCTCCGCTTTTCTCCGCACCCGGGACCTCCGCTTCAGGCTTCATCTCCTTTCTCACACGGGGATTCTGCTGCTCTTTCACGGGGCAGTCCGGTTTCATGTGCTGGGTACTACCGCAATTCCAGCACCGGCCCATCTTTCCTTCTTCTCCCCACTCATGGGAAAAACCACACGCCTTCCCCTTTTTACAGCCCTGCTCCGAGAGAAAGTACCGGCACGCGGTCGACTGCTTGCCCTTGCCTTTTCCACCAGACATCGGCGCCCCGACCCCTTCCAGCTTCTCCTTGGGCTTGTCCATAACCGGCTTTATCTCCTTCTCCGGAGACTTGACCTTGCCGTCCTTGGCGTCCACCGCCTTCAGCTTCATGTTCTCCTTGAGGGGTAGCGTTGCACCTCCATGATACACCGCCTCACCTTCAGCTTGAAGAGCTTCTGCGAATTGTTGCACCGCAGCCGGCGTAGGGGCAATATCCACTCGCAAAGCCGCCCGTGCAATCTGCAACCTGAACGACACCTGCGGTGAGTTCTTCGCCAGAACCCCGGAGTACTTGTCCAACGTGGCCAGGAGCAAGACCGGGTCCGGTGGCTGAATCCTTAGTTCCGCAATCCGGACCAACCATCTTCTCCAGTTCCTCAGCGACATCATCCACTCCGTCATGCTCTGAGGAACCTTCTGGTCCACCAATTGCTTCAGCAGCGCGGTGCGTTCTCCAAGTCCCCCCGGCTGATATACTCTAAGGATCTTGTACACAATGTGCACACAATCCACCTCCCTTTGGGCCACCAGCTCCGTCTTCAATGACTCCGGCAATGCCCTCAAGAGAGCCACCTGGCCCCTTTGCTCCACCCTCAACCATGGTGCTCTTCGAAACGCCTCCGGTGACCTTGGATCCAACCTCAGCCTTTCCATTGGCTCTGCTTCCAACCACTGCCGGTAGCAGTCACCCGAAACACGAAGTACCTCCTGCCACCAGAGCGACGATGACGAGCTGAGGTCACTCATGAACGGGTTGACCATGGTGAGCCAATCTCCTGCCACCAACGGACCCACCTCCGACTCCGACAACTCCGGCAGCATCGGCAGCTCTACCGATCGCACACTCTCCTGTTGGGCTAGTACTCCACCTAGCCATCCGGGAACTTCTCCACCATACCCGGGTCCGCCAGGACCTCCGGGCGGGCCACCTCCAGGAGCGCCAGGAAATCCGCCTCCAGGAGCTCCAGGAAATCCGCCGCCTCCAGGAGCACCGGGAAATCCACCTCCAGGTGCGCCAGGATATCCGCCTGCAGGAACTCCAAGAAGTCCGCCTCCAAGAGCCCCAGGAATTCCACCACCAGCAGCTCCGGAACCAGCTCCTGATGCTTCATGTTGCCGTTGAGCTTCCACTGCTGCTCCCGACGAACTCGACTGCGGCAAACCTCCTGCAGCATCCTTTTCTCGGACAGCCGATCCTTCACCTTGGGCTCCATCTCCAAGGGCTCTCACACCCTGTTGGTCTGGCCGAAGAGGAGCTCCCGCAGCTCCAGGCGCCATCATGCCCCCGAGACCATCCAGGAAGTCCTGCAACATCTTGCCAGCCGAAACTCCATAGCCCTTTCCTTGCGGCTGTCCATGGTTCCTCCAACCGGAACGCTCATCACCAGGCCATTCAAATACTCCCGAATGACCATTAGGCCACCAGACCTGCTGGCCCTCATTGCGACCCCAGCTTCCAGCCCTCCCCAGGCCCGCTGCCGCCGCCATCTTCTCCATGAAGGATGCCTGCTCCACCGCTGGGCTTCCCACCATTGCCCTCAGGCGTTCCAGCTCCTGCCAAAGGCGACCATTCTCCTCCGCTACCCCGCGCATCATCGTCTCCACCGCCCAGGCTTCCCGCTGCGGACTGCAAGAGCTTCCTGCCCCCGGGTCATCGTTCACCGGCTCCGGGAGTGACGATAGGCGCATGGCCTTCAAGACCGCCTCCTCCTTGGCCTTTTCGCTCCAGAAGGGATTGAGGTCTCCCGGCCCAAGAACCTGGGGAGGCCCCTCCGGGCCCTTCAGCGGCACCAGGTCGGTGCACGTCCTACCTTCACCCTCCGACGGGGTCTTCAGGCTGTCATCCGAAGCGGCCATTGCGCACACGTTGGGCTCATAACCCTCAGAAGCTAAAAAGCGAAATCTCCTGTTTCTCATCCAAAAAGGCTATCGGAAGTCGGCGCATGGGATTATAATTCACCCAACCTCTTTGGACTGGCTTCCTTTGGTGTGGGATTGCCATAAATCTAGTCTCCAAAGCTCTTTTGGAGTGTGGCTTTCCTTTGCACAAAGAGTTGAATGTGCTTGCTTTCGAGGGTGCTGTTTCAAGGGCAACCCAGTTTGGGATGTCACTCTAGCCGGTTCGGATGTCATTTGGTTGGACCTCTGGCCTTTCACTTTGCATGTGTTCCCACAAAGCGATACGATGGTTTCTTTCTAGATTCAGCTTCCCTTTGATCGGTGGTTTGGATTGGTGGCTTGGTGGTTGAGGGGTGGTTTGCCATTTAGTTACCCTCTACAAGAACCGGGGGGTTCAATCCCCAATGCAAACAGCCAATTGCGGGTAGCTTGTCACGTTTCTTGTCGCGTAGGTTCCTGTTGGTTTTCCATTGCTTCGTCTTTGGTTATGTGTATTCATTTTGTTGGCTCCTCTTTTTGGCTGCTTTGTGAGTCTGCTTGGCGTCCTGCTGGTTTGTCAGCGTCCTGTTGTCTTCCTGTAGTTTGCCATTAAAAAAAACACTTTCTGGATTCGCTTTGGGTTCCTTTGGGTTTCTGTTGGTTCTGCTTTCTGGTATCTGGTTTCCTTTGCTGTTCCCCGGCGGTTCCTTCGTGTTCTTCGTTTCTTGTATAACCTCATGTGTGTGGTGTTCTCGATTCTGAAGGGTCACGTCAGGCTTGGGAGGTTACAGGGACTGGTGTGATACCAAGGGTACCCCTTGTACAAGCATGAGGTAGCTACGGGGATTCCCACCTTGGTATGCTCAAGTCAACTCTGGCCAAGCCCGGAATGCGGTGGATGAGTCGGGGAGTGCTTTCCGAAAGCGTGATATGGATTCCCTCTTAGCTTCAATCCCCCTGTGAATCAACCGGTCTTGTCTACCCTTGTGCCCCTGAAAGCGGCCTCCCAGCCCGCAACAAGCCACGAGGGCCAAGCTCACGGTGTAAGTCCCTTTATTTTGGGGTTCCCGCTTTTCCCGGGGATTGAATTCTGAAATTTGCAGATCCATGATCTGAGATTTGGCTTCTTGATGACTGGCCGGCAAAGTTTTGTGGCCCCGAACATGCCGTTACAACCACCAAGTCCTGTCAAAAGCAACTCGATCTCTTTACTTGGGGTTCACCAACCCTTTTTTTATGAAGCCCAAGTTTGGGACAACCTAAGCCCCATGCCTAGGATCTCACGATGGAATGGCACACAGACCGACTGGCAACTTGAGGTTCTCACCGTCCACCTGGGTGCGGAAGGTTGCGAGACTGCTGCCAGCCTTTGGCAGAGAGCCTTGGCGAGAGCCTTCTTTTTGGGAGCAAAAGGCAAAGTGAACCAAAACTAGAAAACTGCAGAGAAGTACCGTGGACAAGAGTCAACATCCATGTCACTGCAGTGCTGCTGCAGGTGTCTCCAGTACATATACCACATGGCTTCATGTGGCCCTTGGAGGAGAGGCGTTCCCTCCATCCCCATTTCGCTTTCGCTTCCTTCAAGCTGACTCCGAGAGCCATGGGAGCCGAGAGCCAATCATTTGCAAGAACATCGCTGGATATTTTTGTTGGGTTGGGAGCTAAACTGGGTCTTCCAGTGCCAACTTCTACCGACTTTTTTTTGGGGGAGGGGTTGCAACCTACTAAAATAGACTACCGAAAGATTAAAAAAAATCGGGTACCCATATTCTAGCCTCTCTACTGGAGGACCTAGGTTCAACATTGGATAGAGAAAAGCCTTCTCATGTTTGGAGACCTCTCCTTCTCTTTGAGCCCCAGTTTGGGTTCTCCCTGAACTTGCAGACCAACCAGGGCAATGTACCATAAAGCCATGTGAGTATATGTACAAGAGGGGGAACGCAGGAAGTCGTTTTTGACGTCCTTTCCTACCTCAAAAGGGTACCCCCCAAAGAACATGCCGGAATATTCGGAGTGCTGTGAAGACAACACAGTTTCAGGTGTGGAGGGCTCACGCAATTACCAAGTCCAAGCGCTAGCTTCTCATGCGGACCGGATTTTCCATTAGGGTCCCTTTTGGGGGATCCTGCTTTTCATAAGCCCGTTTGGCGTTGGGCAATTATTCCTGAGATGCGGAAGCACGTTTTACATGACGACGTGAAGAGGAAACCAGCAAGGCGTCCACCATGTGTTATTGGGATGCCCTCTTATGCTAACCTGCTGAAGTGACTAGCCCGAAAAATATATGTGGAAGTCTTAAACTGTCCAGAATGAAGACACCTGCCAAAGGGAAGTGTTCACTGCCAACTCAGCTCCAAGTGTCAAAGCCACAAACTCGATTGGGGAATTCGGGCCTTTGCTGAGAGCGCCGTAGCCCTCTGTTGGATTTGGCATGGATCAAGAGGAATCACGGAGGGGCCGGCCCACATGTTTCGCCCAGTTGGGCGCGCACACATTTTACATTGGCTTTCCTTGGCCCTGTTGTAAGTGGCACCCTTGCAGCTCCTTTTGTTTCAAGGGGTTTCCCGCTGCCAATGGGTTTCCGACCCAAGACACATAGTATCCTTGGATGTCCAACCAACGTAGTAGGTTACCACAGTTATCACCTGGGTATTTGGGCCCCTTATAACCATGGTTATTCTAGGGTTTGATTCCCCATTCTTGTCAACCATTGTTCTTTTCAAAAACCGGCCGTTTCCCCGGAATTTATTGAGGTTTTTTAGAAAGAAGGATCCCTGGAAAGAATGGGGAAGGTACCCCTAGAGTTATACCCGTCGAACATCCAAGTCCGGGTCACTTGCCTTGGCTTAGGCCTACTGGAGCAGCACTGGGTCAGCGCGAACGGCGCGCCAATCGGCTGCCCCTCAGCGGTCTTTGCGGAGAGCCGAAGCGGCAGGCGGACCCGGGCGGCGCACGCACCCAGCCCCACTAGGTCCCCTAGGTGCCCTTTCTCACCTTTTTTTTTGTTTGGGAGGGTTGCCCCTACTAAAATAGACCACAAAAAGAAGGGTATCCTTATTCTATGTTGAACCAGCAATGTTCCATTTGGTTTTAAAGGGGCCCTTGGTTCTCTGGGGCCCTTGGTATCCCGCAAAAAGCAAGCAAGTCCGCTTCCGACTTCCCAAAGGGCTCTGGGAAGCTTTCATGGACGCTCCCTCTCTACTGGAACACCTAGACCAACTACCGGACCCGTGGATTTTTAACCGTTTGGGATACATCAGTGCAGGCAGTTTGCCCGACCTCTTCCAGTGCCCTACTTTCTTGCTGGTTCGCAGGCAGGCCAGGCAGGCAATGTGGGAATGACCCCAAAAATATGTTGTGCTTGTGGTTTCCCATTGGAAACCCCTTCCAGTTCATTCCCAAAACCCGGGTTCAGGTCATTCCCCACGCACCAAGTTGGTGACGAACTGGTTTTACATTTTAAGGTTCACCAACTATGGACCAAGGTTTTTGAGAGAGGTAGGATCCGAGGCACGTGCCCGAGCAAACTGAGGGGGGGGATTTTGGTCATAGTCAAAGCTCTTTGTTGGGTGGCAGATGGTCATCAAATGATTCTTCAACGATTTGTCCAACCATGGTGCGGGTTTCCACAAAAAAAGTTGAGCATGTCACCTTTGCAGGGTGCGTCTAAAAATGGTTCCCCCGCCCCCCGGCCCCCCCGTTTCCTTTTAGTGCCTTGAGGGCAACTCCAAAAAGGGCCCGACACCCCTATGCTTCATGAAGAAGACCACGTTCAATGCCCCAGTTCAGTCTTGGGCGTCGGTGGGTGCTGCCTAGCAAAGGGGCCCTGAAGTGTTTCGGTCACATAGAGCCCCATTCAGAGGTATCCTCAAAACATCGAACACGAGCCGCCCAGACCTTCAGCTGAGTTTTAGTGTTTCTGCATTTCTTAGTGCCAGGGGTTGGAGAAATTGAAACTCATTCTTTCCTTGCTTTCCCGGGTTTGCTTTAAGGGGACCCCTCGGTTCACACAGTTATTGCTCAATGGCTTACATGTCATTTATGTTTAATCTAAATTGCTGAACAATGGTTTTTGAAGCATTTGGTTGTATTTCTCGCACTGGCTTGTGTGTGTGTGGGAAAAAACTTTACCAGATAGTGTCTTGATTTGGGGAAGTCAATGATCAAATTCCGGTGTTTACGGCAACTATACCTAAGACACACCCAATTAAAAGCGGCCCAGATTTGAATCCCCGATGCAGGTTCTTTTGGGTGTCCTTTTGCACATTGACATGGAAACTGCTTGTGGTTGGAAAGCATATGTCGGATATTGCTTTGAACCTGAGCCCTTGAGCAACTGTGGACAGCACAGGTTTGCCTTTTGTTTGAAGGGTTACTGGGGTATGTGAGGGTGAGCCCGTGTGCTCGCAGAGCTTGCATCCTCTAGCCGCCCCTTGTGGTGAAATGCTTGGTGGCACGAAAAAACAAGTTTGCCGCAGGCGCCCTTGCTGATTGATGAAATTGCCTGGCTTATTAAAAGCTGTCTTGCAGTGTAAAAAGCCAGGTTGTTGCAGCAGAAAGGAAGAGTTATACACTCGCAACTGTAGCTGGGATTGCATCGTTGCGTGGTATGACAACGAAGCTCAGGGTGACCTACTGCAATGTGAGTGTTAAGCTATTACAGGGCTCCTTAAAAGATGCATTTTGCCCATTTGAAACATGTGTTTTTCTACCAAAGTAAAGGGAAACCACCATTTACAAGGCAATGTTCAGGTGTATAATGTACGGATCCCTGTATTAGTGGATGTTTGCTTGCCTGCCTGCCTGCTTTGTTTGGGAATAGCTGGAGAGTGTTGGGCAAGCACATCCTGGGCCTTGGTAAGGTCCTGCTACCGCAAGTGGGTTCCTTCATCTGGCCATAGGCATGTGCCGCGGGCAATTCTCGCCGGCTTCGGAGAAGCTGCGAGCCGCGGGCTGCTCTCTCCGGCTTTTTGGTTGCACGCCTATTAGAAGTTAATAGGGTGCCCTTTTTTTCTGTAGCTTATTTCAGTTGGGGAACCCTCCCCCAAAAACGGGTAAAAGGGCACCTGGCTGGGGGACCTAGACGCTTTGGGTTTTTCCCGTTTCGGTTCCCTTCGTCGCCCGGAATGGAAACCCGGAGGCATATGGTCACAACTTGGCACTCCAGGTGCCGTTTGAAACCAAAAGGGCCACCCCGATTTTGAGACAGACCCACCTGTGCGAAGTTGCCCGTTCTTTGTGCCAACAAAACCAAAGAGGAATTGACATGTTTTGATCCAGCCCGCCTATTTCCCACCCAGCCCCGCCGCTCCGCCGCTCCGCCGCTCCGCCCCGAGTGAGGCTTCCGTTTTGGTGGGGCAGAAGGAAGCTTC